TTTGTATGTCCTGTTAATTATTGTTACTTAGTCCATTAACCAAAATTATATTACCATATAATAATTGAGGAATCAACACTGCCAGATACAAACTTATCAGATTTCAACATAAAATTTAATATCACAACATTCTCTTTATGTTCATTTAAGGTTTATATTAAACTCAATTTACCTTTATCATGATTATAAACCTTTATTGCTTTATCATTTGTAGCTATAACAATTGAATCATCTTTATTAAAAGCGATTGCACGACATCCTTCAGTTTATTAAAATGAATTCTAATTAACTAGATTATATGCAAATCGTTTTTCTTATTGTTAAATTTATTATGATTGAGAGTTCAATTACTCTTTTTTTTATATTAAAGTATTATTTAATTGTTTGGAATTTCCTGGATTTTTAATATTTTCTTTTGTTTGATCAGATATTAGTTTTATTTAATCTATTGATTATTTCAGTAGTCCTTAATACTATTTTTCAAATACTTCTATTTAACTAACACCTTTAATCTTATTACTAAGTTCAGAAATTCCTATATTTTCAACATTTGTATTTGAATAAGGTATAAATACATCAATTAAAGTTTAAAGGTATGATTTGCAATCCTAAATTTATCCCTATATAACTTTAAGACTTGAGACTTTTTCATTAATCCATTCAGTCAACAATTCTAAAGGCTTTGTTTTATTTTAATGTTAAGAGTGATTATTCAAACAATAATGACAATAAAGTCTTTGTTATTGACATTCAGGGTCTAGACAAAAGCCAATTACTTTTAAATTTTGATGATCCACCTAATTACATCGAAAATCCATTTAATAATAGAATTAAGAAATAATAAAAATAATTAGATTAATAAATAAAGAAAATTGATTGAATTCATTCTAATTGAAATCTTTATTAATAACTTATAACCTTCTCAAAATCTTAATACAAAAAAAATAGAATTTCCTTACAAATAAAATTTATATTTACGTGAATTCAATTAGATTTCCTTTATTTGAATTTTCTATGAATAACTATCCCATATAAATAAGGATTCTCCATTCTTACTTAATGTTCCATAAATATCTTTTAATGAATCAAATAAAATATACTGATTATTTTGATTAAACTTCACAGATACATACTGTTTCAAAATTAAAGTTTATTAGATTTAAATATGGAAATCACAATGATAGATTAATCTAATGCTCAACATATTAATTAATTTCCATCTGAATTTATTGATATTCCTTTGATCCATGCAGTTTCTGAATTAATAGTTTACTAGTAGGACCTTTTAGAATGTTAAGACCAAAATTTGAAAGTAAAATCTAAATTTCCAGAAATGATTATATTTTCACAATTAAGACATATTAGTAAGCAGAAGAAAGAGCCTTAATGAATTTTTAATTTCATTAAGTATTTTGGTTAGGATAGGAGATTAGAAGGATATAATTATTGTATAATCTTTGGAATCATTTATAAATTAGGAATTCTTCTTGAAAAATGTAATATATCATTCATTAGGCTAAAATAATTACATTGTTTTAAGTTATCATTATTTAAATTGAAATGTTTTGGCAAATTTCAGTTAGGAAGTAATCAGGATTTTGTTATCCTTATTGATAGCCATTGTAAAAGTGAATACATCTTAATTAATAGAATTTTATAATACAAAAATAGATGAATTTTATTAATTAAATAACTATTTAATTTTACACCCATACAGAATTTAAAATTCTTAAAATAATATACAATACAGAAATTAAATTGATGAATAATGTATTAAAATATAAATCTTTTATTGATATATTCATTTATATAACTTAAATATTTATATGATATATCATTCATAAACATTAAAAAATCTATCATATAAAAATAATAAATTACTATATATATCTAAATTGACTTAATTTAATTATGTATAGTAATTATAATTTTAGAAATAAGTAAGTAAAAATGCAAAGATCTTGGTGGTTAGTTGAATAATTATTTAGAATAAAAGTATAATTTCAATAGATAATACTATTGGATAGAAATTTAAAGAGATTTGAATTTCGAAAGAATAATATATTTAGATATTGAAAATTTAGTTTGTTAGCTTGGAAAGGATATAATATAAAATTATCTATTTTGAATATTCTAATAATATTGGGATATATGTAATAATTATAATATTTATAGAGTAGGAATATATAGAAAATATATATTTACTAAATTATTGAATAATAATAAAGTAAAATTGTAATAATATTTATAAATAGATAATGGATGAACCTGAGTTTCTTTGTCATTATGATGGACATGATGAGGAAGAGATTATTGGATTCTGTATAAATAAAAATTGTCAACAGAATGTTTAATTCTGTTTAAAGTGTAGTTGGGATAAACATGGAGATCATGAGGAGGATTGTAAAACATTTAAACAAATATATAAAATATTGTAAAATAATAAACAATAATAAACTGGATAAAATGATGAAGTGAACAATAAATTAAAATCTATATAAACTAAATGTGAATAATTAAGTTAATCTAAAAATATTGGAAATGAAAAATTTGATGAGTTAGAAAAGAATTTGAAAGAAAAGGAATATTAAAATTGTTTAGCTAACATATAATTATTAAAGAATATCTAAGATCAAAATTAATCCAATTAAAGTAAACCAATATTTTATATTTAATAGAATTGATATTAGAATAATTAGATAATATTTTATAAACATTAAATACATTGGGAATTCCATAAATATCTAATACATTAAAATAATAATCATAAAACACTGATAATATTTAAAAGGTTGAGATGAAAAGTAAATATATTAAAATATAAAATTAGATTAAGAAATTTAAGTTAATATTTAAGAAGAGAAAAAAGAAGAAATTTAAACATTAAATAATTAAGAGGATGAAATAACTTATTAAAAATAAAATAATGAATCATAAAAGCCAAAGGATAAATATACATCTATTTCTTTTGGTAATTAAGAACAAACTTAAAAATTTGAAGACTAAAAGTATCCTTTATAGACACCCTAAGATCCTATAAGCAATGCTTATTAATAAACATTACAACATTTTTATACAGAAAATACGCCATCAATAATAAATCCATATTAAAAATCTAATCCTAGTTCTAAATAACCACCAATATTTTAAGTTCCTCAAAATCCAATCACATAATCAATGGCATAATTTTCAGGTATTCTTTTCTTTTATTATTAATTAGAATAAAATTTGGAGTAAAGGTAAATATAAAATAAGAGTAATGGATCTCAATCTGAAATAATTAAACAAAAATTTGAATAGTAACTCCAAACAGCTATCAACAAAAACCCTAAGTAAATTTATAATTTATAAATTAAGGTATAAAAATAATCCTCATCCATAAATAAAACTCACAGATCTAGAATGGGAATAATATAAAAATGTTATTGTAAGTGCATAAGATCAAAGTAAATATTATTAAATTATAATATTTAGACTAAAATTTTGTATTAGATGCTGAAGTGATTACTTATTATGATGATGAATATTAAAAAGTTTTGGAAGAATGTGATAAATCTCTTGAAAAAGATCCATTTAACATTTAATAAAATATTTTAAAATGTACTATTTTATATTCTAATTATTTACTAGGTAAAACATTAATAAAGACCAATAGAAATTAAGAAGCTCTTGAATGTAGTGAATTAATCATGGATATAGATCCATTGAGTTATTAACCATATATTTTAAAAGGTGTTGCTTTAAATCAATTAAAGAGATATGAAGAAGCTTTACATAATTATTGTATATCACTTTAAATTGAACCAAATTATGAAGCTTATCTACTTTAAGGTATATACTTAAATATATAACAACAGGAATATCCTTATTAGCTATTAATTAGTGGGATGAGGCTATTGTATCCTTCGAAAACTCTATTAAAATGCGTCCATAAATGGAAGATGGTTATTATCAAATGGGTTGTTTATATATATATCAAATTTTAGGACTTGCATTAATGCATAAATAGAATTATGAGTAAGCAATAAAATACTTTGAAATTACTCTAAGAATTTCACCAAAACACAGTTAAGCATAAAAAAAAAAAAGTAAGTTCTAATCATATTTTTTTAGCCTTATGCTTAAATAAAGTAAATCAATATTCAGAAGCTATTCATAGTTCAGATGCAACAAATTAAAAGGCTTAAAGTGAAGAATATACTTATTATAATAAGGGTAATTGATGAATTATTACTGTAGGTTTGGAATTGTTTAATGCTGAAAAATATAGAGAAGCATTATAATAATTTGAAAAGGCCATATAAATTAATTAAAATATGCATGAAGCTCATGCATATAGAGGTAATTTAATTTATTAAATATAGGTGAAACATTACATAATTTGGGAAGATTGCTAGAAGCCATAAAATCATTTGATGATGCATTAACGATATCAGTTAAGCCAAAATATATGATAAAAAAAGGTTTCAATATTTTTCAATTTTAAAGCTGATACATTAAAAGAAATGAATAATTTTGAAGCAGCACAATTGCTATAATAAAAAGCGTAATTGATTATGTAGACAGAAAAATAAAATCCATAGCAGATATGAAAATTTGAACAATTATTTTATAATTTAATGTAAATTTAAAGTTTCAGACATTTTAATTTAGATTTGAATCAATATATCATTAAAAATTATATAATAAGGTTAATTTTTAAAAGAGTTACATTAATTTATTAATTAATAGTAATTGCAAATACACAAGAATTATAGAATTTATAAACATATAATTACTTATAATCATTTATTAGTTTCTCTTTAATAATTAATAAATTATTCTATGTTCTTTAAAGATTTTAGTTTTTATCATTATATTTACATATAGTTTATTATTAAAATATACATTTTTATAGAATAACTTAAATTAAGAAAATTTAGTTAATTTAAATAATAAATTGTATATTGAAGGATAATTAAAATAAAAGAGAATTAATTTAATTAATAAGTATTAAATATATGTTAAATGGTAACTTGTGCAAAAACCATTCTTAAATGGTTATCTTTTAAATAAATAAATGTGAAGTTTAAGATGATCAAAATCTTTGTATTTAATGCCTAATAACAATGAAATAAAATTTAATTTTAATTGATAATGCAGAATAATAATTAATAAAATTCAAGACATCATTAATAAATGATAAAACTAAAGAAGTATAAAATAATATTGAATAATTGATAAATCTGAAAGAAAATCTATTGTTATTAAAATAGCAGATTTAGACATCAATTGATAAATATATTGATTTCATTATTTAATAAATCAAAATGTTTTAGGATTATTAAACCAAGTATATTAATGAAATTTAATGTCTATAAACAAAAGATATTAGTTAATTTATATAATAATATTAAGATATTTAAAAATCTTAATTTAATTTTAAAGAAAATAAATAGTTCTTTTTAAAACATTTAAGCTTTATATCAAATAATTAAAATTCTATTAAAGAATACTAAGAACTTGTAGAAAAAATTAGAATTGGATTTCAAATATATTCAAATAAATAAATAAATGATTTAAATTTGATGAATTCTAATATATAAAATTAATAAAATATTAATTTAATATGTTAAGATCATATTGGTTAATAAATTATAATGGTAGATATAAATTAAAATTAAAAAGCAAAAAACAGAATTAATTGTGTTAATTGTATTGCATAATATCCCACAAATTATATAACAATGAAATAATTTGAATAAATTCTATTTAATTTCTAAATGTAATTGTTGAATTAATATAATGAATATAAATTAAAAATCTTAAATAAAAAATAAGAATTAAATAAATTAAGTATAGATTTCAAATAAAATGTATCTAATTTTCTTAACTTTAAGATTAACTAAATAGATAAAAATACAGAAATATTTTTTAATAATATTTCCTATTAAAATAAACTAAAATAACTTAATTGGTCTACATTATCAATAATAGAAGTAAATTAAATTGCAGATGATATAAGTCACTCTAATTATATCAATAAATAATAAGAATTAATAAAAACTGAATTTGATAAATGGAATGAAGATTTTAATATAGAATTTTAAGAATTATTCATAAAAAATAATGAATTTGATAATATGATTTAACAAATTAATAACAAATGTATTAAGAAATCTAAAACATCATAACTTAAATTAGAAGTATCATATGGGTAAATTTAAATATTTTAAAGACTTTAAAGATAATAAAAAGTTTAATAAAATATTTAATCATTTAAATATACTAAATTAGATAAGCTTTCTATTTAATAAAGTGAATATTGTTATGCAATTGCAATAAATTCAGATTGTTCATTAATTGCAGCTGGTTCTAATTCATTAATTAATATCTTTGAATTAAAGTAAGAAACAAACAAATTATTATAAATCTTAAATGAACATCAAAATGCTATATTCACTTTAAATTTCATGAATAAATCTAATTCAATTATATCTGGTAGTTGTGATTAATCAATTAAAATATGGAATAGAAATTAATAATTATAATGGTATTGTTAATAAACACTTTAAGGTCATTCAAGTTTTATATATTGTTTAATTTTGAATCAAAATTAAGATTTAATTATATCAGGTAGTGATGATACTACAATAAAATTTTGGATTAATAAAAATGGATGGAATTGTTCATAAACAATAGCAGTTCATACTAGTAATGTATCAGGATTGAGTTTGAATAATACTTAAAAATAATTAATTTCATGTGGTGATGATAAATCAATTTTAATTATAGAAAATTCAGATTCAATTTAATGTAAATGGAATGTAATTTAATAAATAAGATTGGAATAATCTGGATATAGATTATGTTTTTTAAATGATAATATATTTGCATTTTAACCAAATTCATCAAAATCTATGTATTTATATGAAGTAGATAATATAACTAGAAGGTATACTAAAATAAAGAATATAGAAGTAAAGAATGGAAATAATTGTAATTATCTATTTCCTTAATAATATATTTAGAAAAAGTAATTACTTATAAATAAAAATGGAACTTCAATTAATTTTTTGAATGTGTAATTAAATGATGAAATTAATTTAATATAATTTATAGATTTTGGTACTAAAAGTATATTTGGTTAAATTAGTGAAACAGGAGAATTGCTAATAACATGGGATGATAAATCTAAAGAAATATAGATTAGAAAATTAGATTATTAATAATAATGAAAAGAATAAATTATTATTTTCTAAAAGTATATTCTAAATTATTTATTTATACAATCATTATTATTAACTTTTTCGCATTAAATGTTATGTTTATTTAAGTAAATTCATTATTGTATCTTATTTTTTAAGTTTTCTTTTCTTCATAAGATTTTATTATGAATTAAAATCATTCTTATATAACTAAATTTAGAATTATAAATTAATACCTAAAATATCACTTAATTTATATTATTATGTGGATAATAACATTTAAATTCTTTTATTATTTCAAAATCTTTAAATATTTCAAGATATTATCCTCTCATTAATTTTTATCCATTAATATCTTCATCTGAAGAATCATCAGAAGTTACTTTAATAGCTAATCCTCTTTGTATATTTTAATTATGTATTTCTTTACTTTCTTTATTATTTGTATTAATTGTTTATTATCTATCCCTATATTATTGTTATATCTGCTCCTCCTTTTATTTAATCTTTTCAAATTAAACCATCATACTTTAATCCATTAATTTAATATCTTATTATGGTAAATGTTAAATTTAATTTTAAGTATTATCTTGAAATCCAACCTATCTATCAGTATTTCTTTAATTATCATCATCTTAATATTAATTTATTATATAATTTTCATCTTCAATATTATTATTATCTTTATCAAACACTTTTGTGTATATTTTATTAAATGATTTTTAATTATTATTATCTTAATCCATTTAATAAATTTCTTAATGTTGTTTAAAATTGTTATTTTTAATTGAAAGTTGACTTTTAGAATATTCTAAATCAAAAGATAATTCATCTACTTTATTCTATTTATTTGATGGAATTTCTTAAGTCTTTTCATTTTATTATATATAATCTTAGATACTTTATTTTCTTTTTATAGTCAATTATCCTAATGGATTCTTTTTGTATTATTGAGATATAATTAATTAATTATTAAATCCAGAAAATTTAGATTTTCTATCATAATTATCTTCTTTTTCAGTAAATAATCTTTTAAATTAATGTTATCTATTTTTTATAATATCACCTTAATCTGTTTATTTTCTATCAAATTTCTATCTAATTGAATTCCTTTTCTTTACCATTCTTTATTATGTTTCTTTTGTATCAGTATTTTGATTAGAAGGTTAAATAGAATTCTATTATTTCTCTATTTAAGGTAATTATTCATTATTATTAATTTCATCTGATCTTTCTTCCTTAGTTTATGGTTCTTCTAAAATAGGTGATATTTCTTAATTATTTAAGTTTGTTAATAATCTAAAATCTTATGGTTTACTCAAAGTTCCAACTTAATTAATTTCTTCTTTAGGCTCTTCTTGATTCTAATTGTCTTATAAAACCTTATTGGTCTGAATATTACGAAGAGATATACAATTAATAGAAGATGGAATATTTGGTAATTATGATAATTATTTAGTGAATTAGTTACTTTAATTATTAGACATTTTTTCTTCATATTATAATTATTATTTAATGGCTACTTGTAATTCTAGGATGTATATAATATTTACATTCTTTAATTCCCTCTAAATTACAAATCTCATCATTCTTTATTATATATTATATTACACTTTCCATAACAAGAAAATGATGTTTTTTTGTTTATATTCTTCTATCTTCATTATTCCTTAACTTATAAATTCTATCTTAAGGTAAATTATGTCTCAATTAATATAATACTTTTGTTCTATTTATACCTCCAAAAAGTAGAGGACAATCAAGAACAAAATGTTTTGATTTTCTACATATTGAACATATAATTGAAATTTTACCATATTATTTTTATATTCTAATATCTTCTTCAAAATTTTTATAAATTTCCTTTTTATATTAATAATATTATACATAATCAATTTCATTCTATTTTATATTATCAATTAAAGTTTATCTATCAATTGCTAATATTTTTGTATTTTTTGTAGCCATTGCTTCATAATTGTATTCTTTATTGAGAATAAAATTTAATTGACCTACTAAACATAAAGTCTTTAATTTTTCTAAAATTCTCTTTTTTTTATTAATGATTACATGTAAATCAATTTATCCATTTACTAAAATATATAATTTTTCTGATCTCTAATTTGATTTAAATAGATATTCATCTGGTTATAATTATAATTCTTTAAATTATAAACATAATGTATTAAGTAAACTATTACTAAATTATTTAAATAAATCTAATTATTTTAGTAATTTAATATTTATATCAACAATCATTTGATCTTTTAATTATTATGGAATTTAATCTTAAAATTATATTACTTCTTATGAAGGTTTACTCCAAAAATATTCAAAATATCTTCTAAATTTTATTTGTAATGAAGTTGATACTTTCTAATTTTTTAAGAATTTATTTAAACTATTCATATTTGTTTTAAATTAAACAGATTGTTTAGACATATCTTAAAATATTTATCCAATACTATTAACTGAATAAGCAAATGTTGCTGTAGATATCAATGTCATTATTATACAAAATATCCTTTCTGTTAAATTTACAGGAATAATATCACCATAACCAATAGTTGTCATAGTAACTATACTCCAATAAAATGATACTACATATCTATCAATCCACATTGAATTATATAATTATTCTTTTATTAACCATGTTACTGTATTTTTATTTCCCCAATCTCCCCATACTCCTAGTTTATGCCAAATACAAGCTGAGAAATGAGCACATAATAGTATAAAAAAACTCTATTATTAATTGTTTATTACATTAGTTTAACTAATTCAAAAACAGTTGTTTGTTGTTATGTCAATTCCAAACGATTGAATAAAGAATTAGTTAATTTGGATATTTAAAATACTTTCAAGATAATAACAAGATCTAAATATATAAAATCAAATTATCTTCCAATAAAAAATGGTATTATTAATACTAAATCAATTAAAAATTCTCTTTTAAGATATCTTTTTATTAATCTTTTTCTATTTTTAATAAGTACTCCTTTACTATAAATACAAGTATTAAACTTAATAATAATTTCTAATAAGAATGAATAACTAGGTAATTATTCAAAAATGAAATCTTTTAATTACCATTCCATTTCAACAATTTCAACAAATGATAATCGTAATGAAACATAAAATACATTTATTGTAACTATACAAAGTAGATAAATATTCCACACTATAATTATTGTGTCATCTGGTTCAAATAAAATAAACTACATTATTCTCTTTAAATAATTTCTTCTATAATCTATTTTAATAAAAATTATTACATTATAAGAAGTTCACTTTTTGATCAAATTTAATCATAAACGATTAAGCTTTATTTTATGTAAAATATCCTCTATGTAAATAATAATTGTAATCTGCAGTGTTATCCTTAAGTAATTTGAAAAATTGACCATTTAACAATTTAAATGAAGTAGTAAATGTTTATTTTGTAATCGCTTATATAAATTTTAGAACTATTAAAATTATATTGAATCCATTAAGTTTCCAAGTATTATTGAATTAATATTATGATAATTATCTTCTGAAAAGATTCTAATTCTATTTATGAAATTGAGTGTCAATTCTTTCTGAATTCTATTATTCTTCATATTACTATGAAATGTTCATAATTTATATATTTATATTTTATATCATTTCAAGGTAAAAAGTTATCTTCTACCCCATCTTAGAATTATTCATCATCAATATTTTGTCTAACATTTGCTTTAGGAGGTGGTTGTTTATTCCCACGTCTATAATAATAATATGAACTAATAATTACCTAGTATTATTTGTAAAACTAACTGGATTATCATCTCCTTATGGTAATCTAACCTATTCCTCTTCATTATTAATTAAATTAATATCTTAACCTTAATATCCATCCATCATTTCCATTTCTCTCTCTAATTTTCTCAATTATCCAGCATATTCTTCATATGGTAATCCCATTTCTCTACATAACTACACTAAAAATCTGAGACCTAAATGAATAAATATAAATTAATACATTCAATATTATCAGGATAATCTGAATATATCTTTTAGTAATTCCCTAAAGCCTTTTAGAAATGTCCCATTCTTCTATAACAACTTGCAACCATCAATTTCCATTTAACATCTCTTGATTAAACTTATGCAGCTCTTTCAAAATATAAACTAGCCTTTTCATACATTTCCTATTTCACATAATACACACCTAACCATGAAATTGTTTCTATGTTAGTAGGTAGAATTCTATATGATTCTTAGAAATAATGCAAAGCCTAAGGTTCATCATCTTCCTAATAAATCATTTATTATTTTCTATACCCTTGCAAATAAGGAACCAAGTCTAGCCAATATATTGGGATCATTAGGTACTTTATTCATTACTTCCAAGTACCATTTCATAGCTTATTTAGAATTACCAGTCATTTCATATAATGTAGCCATTTGATACAATACTTCAGGAATACAAACAATAGTTTAAAGTTTATCTAATGCTTATAGAGATTCAACAAACATATTCAATTTCCTATTGACATATGCCAAATTGTAGAGTGCTTCAATACAATCAGCTTCTACACCAATAGCTTCTAAATATTATTCTTTAGCTCTTAAGAATTCATTTTTAACATAAAGACAATTACCTCTATTTACTAAAGCTTTAGCATTATATCTATCATATGTAATTGCAATTTCTGCATATTTTTCAGCCTGTTTATAATCATTTTCTAAGAAATACAAAAATGAGATATTTGTAGCTATTCTTGCCATAATTTATTTATCTTTCTTTTCAAATCCTTTCAAAGTTTCAATAGATTTTTCAATNTCTTTCTGAATTCTATTATTCTTCATATTACTATGAAATGTTCATAATTTATATATTTATATTTTATATCATTTCAAGGTAAAAAGTTATCTTCTACCCCATCTTAGAATTATTCATCATCAATATTTTGTCTAACATTTGCTTTAGGAGGTGGTTGTTTATTCCCACGTCTATAATAATAATATGAACTAATAATTACCTAGTATTATTTGTAAAACTAACTGGATTATCATCTCCTTATGGTAATCTAACCTATTCCTCTTCATTATTAATTAAATTAATATCTTAACCTTAATATCCATCCATCATTTCCATTTCTCTCTCTAATTTTCTCAATTATCCAGCATATTCTTCATATGGTAATCCCATTTCTCTACATAACTACACTAAAAATCTGAGACCTAAATGAATAAATATAAATTAATACATTCAATATTATCAGGATAATCTGAATATATCTTTTAGTAATTCCCTAAAGCTTTTTAGAAATGTCCCATTCTTCTATAACAACTTGCAACCATCAATTTCCATTTAACATCTCTTGATTAAACTTATGCCGCTCTTTCGAAATATAAACTAGCCTTTTCATACATTTCCTATTTCACATAATACACTCCTAACCATGAAATTGTTTCTATGTTAGTAGGTAGAATTCTATATGATTCTTAGAAATAATGCAAAGCCTAAGGTTCATCATCTTCCTAATAAATCATTTATTATTTTCTATACCCTTGCAAATAAGGAACCAAGTCTAGCCAATATATTGGGATCATTAGGTACTTTATTCATTACTTCCAAGTACCATTTCATAGCTTATTTAGAATTACCAGTCATTTCATATAATGTAGCCATTTGATACAATACTTCAGGAATACAAACAATAGTTTAAAGTTTATCTAATGCTTATAGAGATTCAACAAACATATTCAATTTCCTATTGACATATGCCAAATTGTAGAGTGCTTCAATACAATCAGCTTCTACACCAATAGCTTCTAAATATTATTCTTTAGCTCTTAAGAATTCATTTTTAACATAAAGACAATTACCTCTATTTACTAAAGCTTTAGCATTATATCTATCATATGTAATTGCAATTTCTGCATATTTTTCAGCCTGTTTATAATCATTTTCTAAGAAATACAAAAATGAGATATTTGTAGCTATTCTTGCCATAATTTATTTATCTTTCTTTTCAAATCCTTTCAAAGTTTCAATAGATTTTTCAATATTCTTTTTTTTCAAAAATGCCATTGCTTTACATATTTCAATTTCAGTTTCAGCTTCTGGAAATGTTGAATTCTTTAACTATTCTAAAATCCATTCATATCCTACAATAATATCATCTTCAATTAAAGGAGCAATCAATTTTGCAGATGTTACAATATAATAAATAGCTTCTCTTCTTCTTTCTTTAGTATCTTCTCTTAATTTATCTGTTATTGTAGTACCCTTATTTTCATTATTCTCTTCTTCATTCTCTCCTGGTATTTCTATTGTAAGTAAAGTAACAAAATNTAATTACCTAGTATTATTTGTAAAACTAACAGGATTATCATCTCCTTATGGTAATCTAACTTATTCCTCTTCATTATTAATTAAATTAATATCTTAACCTTAATATCCATCCATCATTTCCATTTCTCTCTCTAATTTTCTTAATTATCCAGCATATTCTTCATAAGGTAATCCCATTTCTCTACATAATTAAACTAGAAATCTGAGACCTAAATAAATAAATATAAATTAATACATTCAATATTATCAGGATAATCTGAATATATCTTTTAGTAATTCCCTAAAGCTTTTTAGAAATGTCCCATTCTTCTATAACAACTTGCAACCATCAATTTCCATTTAACATCTCTTGATTAAACTTATGCCGCTCTTTCGAAATATAAACTAGCCTTTTCATACATTTCCTATTTCACATAATACACTCCTAACCATGAAATTGTTTCTATGTTAGTAGGTAGAATTCTATATGATTCTTAGAAATAATGCAAAGCCTAAGGTTCATCATCTTCCTAATAAATTATTTATTATTTTCTATACCCTTGCAAATAAGGATCCAAGTCTAGCCAAGATATTGGGATCATTTGGTACTTTATTCAGTACTTCCAAATACCATTTCATAGCTTATTTAGAATTACCAGTCATTTCATATAATGTAGCCATTTGAAATAAAACTTCAGGAATACAAACAATAGTTTAAAGTTTATCTAATGCTTATAGAGATTCAACAAACATATTCAATTTCCTATTGACATATGCCAAATTGTAGAGTGCTTCAATACAATCAGCTTCTACACCAATAGCTTCTAAATATTATTCTTTAGCTCTTAAGAATTCATTTTTAACATAAAGACAATTACCTCTATTTACTAAAGCTTTAGCATTATATCTATCATATGTAATTGCAATTTCTGCATATTTTTCAGCCTGTTTATAATCATTTTCTAAGAAATACAAAAATGAGATATTTGTAGCTATTCTTGCCATAATTTATTTATCTTTCTTTTCAAATCCTTTCAAAGTTTCAATAGATTTTTCAATATTCTTTTTTTTCAAAAATGCCATTGCTTTACATATTTCAATTTCAGTTTCAGCTTCTGGAAATGTTGAATTCTTTAACTATTCTAAAATCCATTCATATCCTACAATAATATCATCTTCAATTAAAGGAGCAATCAATTTTGCAGATGTTACAATATAATAAATAGCTTCTCTTCTTCTTTCTTTAGTATCTTCTCTTAATTTATCTGTAATTGTAGTACCCTTATTTTCATTATTCTCTTCTTCATTCTCTCCTGGTATTTCTATTGTAAGTAAAGTAACAAAATTTTCTTTCATTTTATTCTTTTTTCCACTTAAATATAAACAAATCATTAAATTAAATCCTGTTGGAAAATCAGGTGAATTTTTAAGGATTTATTCATAAGTTGTAATAGCTTCATTAATTTTCTCTTTTCCAAGTCTCACTTAAGCATGACCTATATTTTTTTATATTTTGAATCTCATTTCTTTAGAAGTAGCAGGAATCAAATCTAATGCCATCTTATACATCTTTATTGCATTAGGGTACTTCTTTTATTCAAAATAAATGTTGCCCATATTTACTCTTAATCTGCCTGCTTGAGGGTATTATTTACATTTTATAATTTCTTAATATTTAGATAGAGCATCTTAATGTAATCCATTTGCATGTAAAGCACATGCTTAAGTTAAGGCTACACAATAGCTAAGATCAGTATTAATTGATTCAGCTAAATTTTATGCTTCCTTAGATTATCTTAACTTTTTTTCCTTATTGAATGCTTCTTTGGCTTTTTCTAAACATTCTGATAAATTTCCCCTCAATTTAGCCATGGCACTCTATTCTATAAGAGTATTGATTTCTTTTTCTATTGATTTAAATTATTCTTCAGGATTAGTTTCAAGTTTTGGTTTATTCAAATTTAATTGATTTTGAGTGGAATTGAATGGGTCCTTCTTTTACCCAAAATTAGCTCCTCTATTAGATGTCATAGGTCTAGCTTCTGCTTAAGGTTATCTGGCTGCTGTACCAATAGGTTTTCCTCTTGAAGGTTATGGTCCACCTGGTGCAGGCTATTATGCCTAATCTCATAAAAATGATGAATTACTCTAACATTTTCAAAATTGTAATTATTGACAGGGGGTTTTGCTTAATTGAAATTATTACCACTCATACCAAAAGCACCATATTAGGATGAATTCATATTATATTATTTAAATTTTATAATTATATATATATACTATATTTGTATATATATATATATATATAGACAATTATATTATCAACCAATATATTATACAAATCTATTATAATCCATCCTATAATTAGGATTGAAATCATCATAAATTAGATTTTATAGAAATACATCTTCCCATAAACTCTTACAACCTTATTTAACAATGTATAATGGAGCATACTTTGTAAATTTATTGCTTATTATAATAGATAAAATAATACTATCTTAATTGAGATATAAGAGTATAGATGGCATTATTTGATTATAGGTTATCCTCATATAATTGTTTAGTTTGGTATTCTTCATCAAATAGATCTACTAATTAAGTGGGATCATGCATTCTCTAATTACACATTCACTTACTTGCATATATATAAAATTAAACAGTATCCACAATCCATCAGATATAGACCTCCACTTTATAATTCAGCTAGAACCAAAGATAATTATTATGGATAAACAAATTAACCCTAATCATCATAAACACATTCATGTTCTTATAAATTAGTTACATTGTATAATTAAGGTACTAAATAGGTAACTAATTCATCATAGTGAATATACTGAAATAATATTCTAAAGTAATTCACATAATCTGTTAAGTTACTTTATTAATCATAAGTGTAATTCATTATAATAGATTTCATGATTCCTAATGAATAAGCATGCATTTGATCCAAATTTATATTGTATAATTTACAATTATAAAATATGGATCTAATAGTTGAGATAATGAATTCTTTAACAGGAATCAAATTCTTTACTGAATTAATTTAAAGTAAAGCCATTTTAAATATGGTCATAGCCAAAGTAGATTAATCAATATGTGAATATATAGTTTTGACAGAATTACTTAAGGGAATACACAAATTATGAACTCGAATTCTTCTCTCACTTCTTTATGATGTATACAATAAAGCAGTTTATATATAGAGAAGATCATAAGATAGATTAGGTTCGGTTAATTCTAATTCATAAACTAACACTTTTTAACTATCATTAATGATATCATCAATATTTACTCATCGCAATTAGTAATATTTAATAAATCTGAGGTTTTCACAACATAATTACCATAAACATGTTTAATCTTCCATCCAGGCGAAGTTCTAATTCTAAAAACAGATTCCCAAGCATAATCTCTACTCAATACTTCTTTTAAATCATTCTTAAATCTTGTTGCTTAAACATTAATAAAAATATCTTACTATATACTGTTGGATCATCATAATAGAATACATCACCATTTAAATAGGTTGCTAATTGATTTATAGTATATATATTCATATAATTATTAGGAACAACAAATATTGATGGACATATATATTAAAAATACATACTTTCAGTCAATTATGTCAATATTGATTTACTTTTATGTAAATATTATTATTGTTATTTTCCATTATCCACAATGCTCAATTCTTTAATTGGTGAAGATATTAAGATGATTAATTTGGCTCCATTATCTTTTATTAATTTTTGTGATATTTTTAATGCTTCTATGAATTATGTACTCCTTAAAAGAGGTTTTGGAAATAGTCGACTCAAAGAATCCAAGAATCCAACTATAATATCTTTGGAGTCTTATAAATTAAATAGATATTCTCCAGGCATAGGCAGTTCATTATCATCTGTTAATACATACATCTAGGCTTATTTAAGTCTTGAATTGAAATTATATAAATGAATAGAGGAATCAAATGTTAGGAATCCAAATAAAGTTCTTTCATTAAATTTTTCATTTATTATTAATTCATTCATAACTTATCCTATAATTCCTAAAAGTGCTTCACTCTTTGTTGAAACATCAATCATAAAAAAATATGCAGGAGCCATAGGTGGTCTCATTTGATACTCTTACCCTGCTTTGATATCATAAGATCCCATAGTTAATTCAGTTCTTTAAATTGCATTCTCTTTTGTTATTTTATTAAATCCAATTTAAGTAATCAAACCACATAGGTTACATTTAAAATAATCATAATCATCTAAAAATTTCATGAAAGGATTTAAATAAGCCCTACATTTTGCACATCTTATAATTGGATAGCCACCATTATTGACTGACACAAATCCATCTTACACAGATTATCCATAAGGCTATATCATAATAGCAAATGGAATTTTTGCATCTATGTATGTTTATTTTGAATGTGGAAATACATTTGATGTACATCTAATATTATTATATGAGGCATTCAATTATAAGTAATCACTATTTTATTAATTTTGAATATATTCCTCTTCTTTCACATGTGATTATTATTATTATTATTGAGCATATTAAGTGTCCAATCTTCCACTCTTTTCTAGAATTTTTTTATGAACATTCATTTTTCTAAATATTATTATTAAAAATGATCCAAACATTTATTAGATTGATTCCAAAGATGAAGTTTAGTACTAAAATTGGATCATCAAATGTTTCAACTGGATCTAATACATCAGCAACATGTAAAAAATATTATAGAGAATAAAAATAGAATCAAATCCAACTCCTGTTTATTTGAGATCATATGATGCAAAAAAATATGAAGTTCCATCATCAAAAATTAAATTAACAACTGGTTATAGTTTTTTAGATGTTGAACCTATGCCAAGAGCAAAAATAATGAAATTATGTTACACAATACTTGATAAATTAAAAACAGAAATACCAGAAAATGTCCTTTATAGAATATATACTGAGGAGAAATTAAAATATATAATGCGTATTACAGATGAAATAGAGGATATAAGATAATTAGAAGAAGAATTTGGTTTTGAATAAATTGAATTTTTAATATAATAATTAGCAAAAGAAGTTGATCTAGTAGATTAGATGAAGTAAATGTTTAATTTTATATTAGATATTATAAACCTTGGGAAAAGACATAAGATGATAGTACATTTGAATTGTTAAGATAACCACATCCAGCATTAAAACATCAGAGAAATGAAAAACCATCAAGAGAATATACTAAATTTATTGGTCATTGAAATTACATATAAATAATATATTTATATATATATTATGAATTTATTAGATTTGATTTAAGTTGAAGTAATATGTAGGATTATCTAGGTTACTAATTACTTTCCAAAATTGATCAATAAATTAACTGAATTAGGATAAGAAACTGTTAGCATAATTCAGCCAGAAAATTCATTAAAATAAATCCAATTCATTTTTACTATCTTAGACGAAGTATTAAAGTATAATACATATAATATTATTGTAGAGTCTTAAAGGATTTAAATCAATAATATGCTTAATTAGAGGAATGTCTGTAGAACTATGAAGGATAATGCAGAGATCATATTAGGGTATCGAAGAGAAAATTAACAAATAGACAGAATAGAGATTGAAGCTTTATTGTGAGAATGTGTAGGACCTATATGATTAATAGATTTCTATTGAAAAAGATTACAAATATTAAATTCATGTATTCAAAACAAACAACATTTATTAGAATTATTAAAAGGAAATAACTTTATTAAAAAAAGAATTAAATGAATCCTAAAATTTAAGAAGAGATAAAAATCATTTAGAAAATTCTAAATAAACTATTGTATTAGAAAATAAATATAGATCCTCCATTTTCTAAAATGGATTTTAAAATTAAACATTTGCTATCAAATTAAATAACCGTAAAAATAGATCAATTACTGAAACCTAAGAAATTTTGACTAAGTATATTAATTATATGATAATAAGGTCAAAATAATCTATGGATGAAAGACAATATTAATTATCTCTTGATAAAACTTAAGAAATGATAATTAATAATGCAAGACCAAAATCTAGAATGAATCCTAAATAAAAGTCAATGACTTTATAACTGACTTCTATTAATAAAGGAAATATAATCAAAAAGTCATGATTAATAAATATTTGTGATTTATTTCATTTATGATTTGAAATTTTTAATTAATAACTAAAATATATAAATAAATGATTAATTTTATGTCTTAATATATTCATTTAGTATTATTTTAACTAGATCAAAAATTCATTTATCTATTTTTATTCTTAATCATTATATACATAATCATATCAATAAAATAATAAATCCAATAGAATAACTATCTTCATGTGAAATACTAACTTAAATTTCAAATTATTCTCCAAAATTCTTTTTAAAATATTCCAAATTCTTATTATGTAAAACAATATTGGGTTTTTCCTATTTTCTACTAATTTCAACTTCTGGAAATACTAGCTCTTTAAAACTAGAAGCCTTGACAAGCGCTTCTTTTACAGCCCATCTAGATGCTAAATATTATTGTTGTAATTAAATTGTTGATTTGCTTTTAAATTATTCAATTTCTGTTGGGTGGAGCACTTTAACCAAAAATCTTTCAGCATAAAAAGCTTTGATTATATTTAACATTCTTTGATTATTTACAATATCAACTCCAATACCTTTTATTGTTTTCATCGTAATATATATATAAATTGATTACCAAAATGAAAATACTACGATTTCAATAATAATTTATAATCAATATTCAAGTAATTAATCACTTTTTATCTCTGTTTAGACATCCAAATGCTAAAAAGACTCTATCCATAAACCCCAATCTCTATTCTTATTACTATTATTATAATTGATGCTAATGAAGTAAGATTTCATTTTTATTAGATACTCTACTAATTCTAGGCTTATTAATATCGTCTTATCGAATGTTATCATTCTAAGTAAAATTCTTATAATTAGATTATTATTCTTAGCTTTTGAATTTAGAATAATCTTATGACATGGGTCTAGCATAAGATTCTTTCTTTTTTATATCCATAGGTTTTGATGTAGATTTAAAATTGATTAAAGGAATCTATCTCGTAGGGAATTGATGTTTGTAAACAAAGCTCCAAATATCAATATTGAAAATGGCAGCATTTTTTAGCATCCAAGGATGATCAAATATTTATTCCATAGTTAATCTTTCAGATGGAATGTACTTCAAAATCCCTTTGATGAGAGTTATTACTTCATGAGACAAAGTAGGTGAAAAATTAATAGGCTATCCTGATTTTATTTTGTTGCATAATTCTTCATTATTCCTTCCTCTAAAAGGAGCATATCCATGTAAGAGTTCGTATAATAAGATACCTAAACTCCAAACATCTAGACTGAAATCATGTGGTTATTTATTCAACATTTCAGGAGCCTATTATATAAAATTGCTATCTACCATATATTCATAAGTTCCACAGAATGTCATTCGTTTTTCTGTCAAACTTTCAGCACTCCAACCAAAATCACATATTTTAACATTTCCTTCGTTATCTAATAAGAGATTCTCTGGCTAATCATTTAAAATTATAAATTACTTTGAGATCTCTATGAATTACTTTATTTTTATGTAAATAATCAATTCCAAGACAAGTTTAAAAGAAATAAATAAATGCCTCATCTTCTGGCAATTTGGTTTTCTTTTTTATGTAGTGAAATAGAGATCCATTTTCTAATCCAAATGTCATAAATACCAGCATATTCTAGAACCAAATACACATTTTCTTTATCTTCAAAGTAATGATAAAGTTTGCAAATATTTGAATGAAATAATTTTCGTTGTATTTTGATCTCTCTTTTTAGATTTTCTACTGAACAATACTCAAAAACTTATCTTTTGTTCATCTAAGCATAATGATACCAAACTATTACTATTTTCATTGCATATAATTATCCATTTTATTTGTCCTTGACAAGTTTGACTGAACCATATGAACCTCTTCCCAATTCCTATTTAGAGCCAATTATTATTATTTCGAATTCTTCAGGTTTTCTTCTGACACTAACAGTCGATGATGAATCTATTGTATCATTACATGATTTAGCTCTGTCTGGTTAGTTTTTTTTACATATTCCTTTATGATAAATTGTCCTTTAACATTATTATATTAATTTACCAATCAAGATCTCTGCATCTAATACTACAGTAATTAGAAGCCATACAGACAGGACATATAACTTTTGTTAACTTTGATCTTTATTCTATTGTAGGTTGTTTAATATTGAATTAACAAGAGTTATAATCACAAAATTTATTCATAAAATAATATTGATTAGCATAGTGATAATTGATTATGAGATATTTTGATAATGATCTCTAAAATATATTTAATCATAATTGATCTAATTCAAAAACAACATCATCTCCAGCTGATATGAACTTCATATTGTTCTTTTCCGTCCAACTTTTGACTACTTTCTCGAATTCCTTTTTGTTATTTATTCTCATTTCACACATACCTCTATTCTCACATGCAAAATTAGTTAAAACAACTCTGCATCTAACATTTAATCCTTTCCCATATTCAGGAACTTAACCAAATTGATCTTCTGGATAAAACTAAAATTAAATAAAAAAATTAATACCTCTACACTATCTTATTTCAACTTAACAATTTAATCAATATTCATATCCTTTAAATCGACTGCCTCTAAAAAATGAATACTACCATATTCATTTTAAATCTTAAAATCTCTTACTCTAGTTAATTGATTATCACTCATTTCTGAAAGAATTTAAATATTTGGACTTAAGATGTATTTAGTACATTTAGGTGCTCTAGGATTTACTTTATTTTCCTACTATTATTCCTCTGATTTAATTTACACAAGGCTTGGTTATGTATACTCATCCAGTTCCTTTTTATTACTTTTATTGTAAAATTATTTATTGAGAGATTATTTATATTATTTTTAATCTTTCTCCTATTTTAGAGACATATACCATGGCTTAATTTCTTCCTTTTATTTTTAATTATTTTTTGATTTTATTTTTATTTCTAAAGAAGGATTCTTGAATCTCAAATTTACATTCCCCACACTAAAAGTTACATCATTCTATTAGGCATACTCACTAAAAGTAGGAAACTTCTTTTTGAACTCATCTTCTACTTCTCTCAAATATTCTTATTCATTCTTTATATCGAAATCAATATTCATATCAATTTATTATTGCTAATAAACTGGATAAGCTGGATTATATAAGGCTTATTAATTTATTGGAGCCTAAGCCATCGCTCCATTTTGACTATTATCCCAATTCTATTAACCTAATCCTTATTGTTAATGTTAACCAAATATTCCTTGTGATTATTGTTGCATAGGCTATTATAATAATAAGCCACCTTATTAAGGAGCGGCACCTAATAATCCTTATTATTATTATGGTTATCCAAGTCCAAGTAATCCAGTTTATTATTGTTATTGTTATTATCCAAATCCTAATCCTAAGCCTAATCCTCCTGTTCCTTAAGCAAATGTGCTCTATCCTAATCCTCCTGATAAACCTCCACCAAGTGTTCCAGTACCTAATCCAGTTCCTAATCCTCCTCCTAATCCAGTTCCTAATCCGGTGCCTAATCCTGTTCCTAATCCAGTTCCTAATCCTGTTCCTAATCCACCTCCAAAACCTGTTCCTAAGCCTCCACCAAATGGACTTGCTTAAGTGCCTGCACCTAAACCTGTTTGATTTTGTTGTGTCTATTATTATTGACCCAAACCTCCTCCTAATCCTCCACCTAATCCAGTTCCTAATCCAGATCCCATTCCTGTCCCTAATCCTCCTCCTAATCCTAAGCCTGTTTATTATTGCCCAAATAATGTTGGTTAAGCTGTTGCTTACTAACCAAATAATGTCGATTATTGTTATTATGGTTATTGGACACCTCCAAAGAGGCTTCCTTGTGGATTTTATTATTGAAATCCAGGTTAAGCCATTGATTGAGAAGGTTGTTTTTGATTTCTATAATACTCTACTCTAGTTTCAGCTCTTGAGATTTAAATATTGTTTTAAGCAGTATTAATAGAACAAAGAAGTCCATCAGCATTTTTATTCAAAGCCGGATTACCTGGATAGAACCTAGGAGGTACTGGAGGCTTGTTGTTGTTGTTATTCTAGTTTTGAAATAGCATAATTTTATATATTTAAATTATTTAAATATATTTTATACAATTTCTATAAAACCTCTCTTTTTTTCAAAATACTTATATATTCCGGATATTTATCAATAAATTCACATATTATATTTCGTTTGGATTGCTTTAATTTCTTTCATAATTGTTGTCACTTAAGTCAAATTGGCCACATACATAGGATGATTAGTCTTGGCATACTTATAAAATGCATTATAATAAGCCATAAAAGTTTATAAGAATTTTTTCAACAAACTTTTCATCAAGTTGGTACCCTAAAAATGTTTTTCACATTCTAATCTAAAAACATCAACTCTCTTATTCCATGATAAATTCACATCCTATTGATATATATTAATAAATATACTTAACTAATGTTTTCTATTAATTTCTTATTATCTACTTAATTAATGTTCTATACTTTCTCTACAACCCTTATTTCTGATTATTATTTATTATCATATAAATTAAGTTCTAATTCACTTTCCTCTTTTGCGTATTTCTATATAAAATCAACAAGATTCCCAAACAATTCCTTCAAATAAATCTCAATTAATTTCTCACTAAATTTATTTGTCTCCTTCTCTAGGAATAAGGTTTCTTCTGAAAATTCTTTTTTGTATGTAGTCATCTAAGTTGTATTGTAAGCTGAAACAATCATTTCATAAACTGATAAAGTATATGTTATCCTATCGATTTCAATCTCAAATTCTGCTCCAGTTCTTTTGATTAAATCAAAGTATCTTAATCTTAATTGATTAATTCTGCTCACTATCATTTTGTTATCCTCAAAGTATGCATATAATTTGTATAATGACAATGTTAGATCAATATATCTCATAACAAAACTTCGAAATCCATAATACTTTTCCAATGATCTATACAATCTCACATTAGTACTTTAAATACTTTAAATGTGAGTATCAAACACTTATTCAAACTTTGGCCACAAGATCATATTCACTTATTCAAAGTAAAAATCCAATACATGGGAATTTTTAGAGTGCATATGCTTCTAAAATCTCTCATTTAATAATATTATTAACAAAAATGCATATATGTCAAATATGCTCACAGTCTATTTCAAATGATCTAAAACAAATTGAATGGTATTCTTAAAAACACCACTAAAAATAAGTCTATTTTAATCAGGTTTCAAACTAAAGAAATCTTGACTAAATCTATCTTCGTGCAATACAGTATCAATCAATACTTTATTAATGGTTTTAAAATATTATTCAATGAGAATTTTCTAATTTTTCTAATTCAATTAAGTATGCAATAAAGGTTCTTCATCCATAAATTATAGTATTTAATCTCGATTCATTAATTAAAATATTGATCTATTCTCAATAGTTAATCCTACAACATTTCTTAAATTCAACTGAGGCCTATAATTCTATTGACTATCAGGTACAATAAGATCATTTCGTAAATAAACATCAATTGTTAATTTATGTATTTCAGCAACATATATTTTCATATTACTTAAATACAATTTACTCATTGCATCTGTATAAAGATTACATAACTCTACATAAATATCTAAATAATGATCTTTCATGAATTCGGTGAATATCTTATACTTAACCAATTCCTAAATTTAATATTATTGAATGTTGATTTTTGGTTTCTTTAATTGATTTAATTTATCTATCATAAATTCTCTTACTCTTTTACAGGCTGTATTTTTTAACTTAATTAATTCTGGTCCTAGATTCTTTACAGCATTCGCATCAGTTAATTCAGTGTTTTTCAGATATTCTAATTTTGAGCATAAAATTCGAATATATTCCACATATTAATCATTAATCTCTTTACTGCATATATTATCAATTAAAGATGGATCTAATACAGCTTAATCAACAAAACTAGATAATATCTATGATAATGCTTTTCTATTTGTTAAAGATGTATTCATTTTGACACTTCTCTCTTGCAATTATGTCATCTCAGATTTAATATCATTCAAATAATCCTTGAAATTAAGTAAAACATTCTCTAATTCTCCTAAAATTGCATCACTCTTCTCAATTTCATTATCCAATTCATACATCTCTTTTTCAACCTTATTTTATTTCCCTAATAGATACTTTTAAATAGTCATATGCAGCTTCTTTTTCGATTAATTGCATTTCCAATTTTACATTATCACACATATGTCTTAAATCTAGAGATTGTTCGCCTCCATCCATCATTAAGTACTTACCCATTATATATCTACTTGTTATGGGATCCAAATTATGTTCTAAAAAACTTGATAAATTCTGCTATTATTGAGACATGATAATTTATATATATATTATTTATTTTTATTTCTTGTAGAATTTTGAATTCACTCAAACACACACTCTCTAATTAAATTATTATTAAATGTTTGTGTAGAATACAATTTAATTTATAATATGAATAATTCTTTGATATTAAATTAATCATATTGTAAAACAGAAGGTGATGAATTATATGGAAGCAGAGCCTTAGACATACTTAAAGAGAAGATGAAAATTTTTGATTTAGAAAAAATACCTCAACTTTCTTAATTATAAAGAGAAAGGTTAAGATCTAAATAGAGAAGCAAAACTCAAAAATTGTAGATACATTCAAATAGTAAATAACCTACAAATTATTCACAGTACCGAATATCAAATAAAGAATAAACATTCAAACCTACTAATGATATGTTCTCAAGATAAACAATCGAATCCATAAAAAGTAGATTAAGCATCTAAGAAGCTAAATTATTAGATGTTCCAATAATAAAAATATCTAGAGAAAGACCTCTAACAAATAACAACGATTCTTCCAATACTATGTCATTAATCCTAATGGAAAAATATTATTAATCAACCCTCAAATATTAATAAAGGTAAATGAAATAACAGTAAAAATAAACAAAAAAGCCTAATACATCAATCAATTCAATCTCATAAATTATCACTAGCAATTAAGCAGTTAAAAACTATAAAAGAAAATTAAGAAATAGCAGAAGAGATTTAATGAAAGAAATTCCTCAATAATATCCTATTCTTAATCATTCACGATAGTTTAGTTCTGATAAATCAAATTAAGAATATAGTAAAACTACTTAAATACAAAGTAAATATTCTTCTCTCTGATTTCATATTACACTCTATATGTTATTATAATAAAATTTAAAAACAAGAATCTATTTTTGTATTAAAAATAAATGATAAAAAGTTAGAATTCTATCCTTATGATATCTTAATTCAAATGATAACTCAATTAACTAAGGAATTATTAATATATAGTTGGAGAAATTTATGAAAAAAATCTAAGATATTGTTCTTCTCATAAATTTTAATCATGTAATTTAATTAAAAGCCCTTTTGGCCATCTATAAGATAAGATAATTTTATCACAATATTATTAAATAAATAATAAAAATTGAAAGTAATTCAAAAAGTTAAATTAACAAAATAAAAATATATTAATATAATAAATAAATACAATTCAATATCCAATCTCTTTATCAATAGTAAAATAATTTTAGGAGAATAAATTTATAATAATTGATTGGGTATGTATTTTAGAATCAAATAAAATTTGTTTAATCTAAGATTGTTATTTTTTTTAATTGCTTGAAATTAATATTTATTCTTTTGAAGAATCAAGAAATGAATTATGTTACAATTATTCATTAATAAAATAAAAAATATAATTTATATAATAACATTTTCAAAATAAAAATAATTCAAACTAAATTAAATAAGAATTAACAATTAAAATAATATAAATATTAGATTCAGTATTTAGTGGATGGATATTTCAATTTCTTTAGAACAAAGTTATATTAACTTGAAATTTTATCTTAAAGAATCAGATTTTCAATTGAATGCTTGTTATTAATTATTGTGAAAATATTTTATTTATAATTCTTTTTTTAATGTTTTTCTTTTAAGAGATTTATACATATATCCATTTTGTTGGGATATACTTTATTAAAATATTTATATTGTATTACAATAAATAAATCGATTGGTATTATCAATCATAAAAAAATTCATTAAAAAATTAATTGTTATGAGGAATATTGAAATGGTAACTATCTTCAAGATTATCAAGTGAATATCTTCGAATTCTGAGTCTTTGGGATTCATCACAAAGATATCCTTAATGTTCGTCTTGATCTTAAATGCTTGGAAGAAGTTCTAAGGTCAATTATGATTAAAACCTTGATTAGGTCGTAGTTCTGGAGTGAAATGCTGTAAAAATTAACTTGGATTATGCAAAGAAATTTGAGTGTCAATATCTAATATTATAATTTTTTTTGATACTCATTTTTTTTTTATTTTTCTTTATTCTTTTCTAACCAGCCGGTGTGTAAGGATTAAATTTTTAATGATGAGACCTATTTATTTAAAATCTGTTTTATATACCTGCATTAAGAAGGGGAACGTGTTCCAATTATTTCAGACATCAATTTAAAGATTTTATTATTTTTTCTATTTTATTAATTTTACATAGTTGTAGCATGATGTTTTTCAAGAAATTCTTCATATGTCTAATGTTCTTCAGGTGTCCAATGACCACTATTATGTTTAATATTAAAAACTAATTCTTTATTGATTTTCTTTTTGATTGGGATAGTCGAATATTTTTTAGCCTTTGATAGAATACAATAGATTACTTTCGGTGTCGAATTACATTCTAATTCATTGTTGAATAAAGAATTACTAAAGGTTTCTAATGTGTCACTTGATTTTATGTAGTCGTCAGAGATGTGAGAAGAGGAAGGAGAATTAAATGATTCCTAATGCAGTCCCTGCATCTCAATCGGGTATAAATATTTATATAAAAGTTTCTGACATTGAGGCATGATAACTTATATATTATGAAAGACTTCAATAAACACCCCCGTAATATAATATGTAATTTTTATAAATTTAATTAATTTATCAATTGCTAATCATATTATGTCATATTTAACTATTTTAATAATTAAAATAATAAAGAAATATACATATATTAATTAATCAGTCTTAAAATTGCGTTAAATGATTATTAGGTTAAGTTAGTCTGTATTAATTTTTATCTTAGATGAAGTGGCTTAATGAGGAAGGCATCATTCTAAATTGTTTATCATTAAGTTTGAATATTAAATTACTTATTTCGTGGTCCTCATCTATAATTTCATTTTGGCTTTCCAAAGATTTCACTAAATAATTTGCATCTTATTATTATTGGAATGCATTAAAATCAAATTATTTTAAAGATGTGGCACATTCTAATTTATTTTTGCCTTATTAAATAATACTGAGTTTTAATGATTTTCTTCTTATATCATATTCACTTTATTCAACCATTTCTATAATTGTCTTTAAACTAGGTAGATTACGATTTATAGATTATTGCTTTTATGACTTTAGTTTATCTTTCGTATTAATAAACCAAGCATGTTTAAGCGCATCATTCACAGAAATCCTTTTATTAGGATCATTCTCAGTCATTTTCTTAATTAAGTCTAATTAGCAAGCACTGAAAAGATAAGGGAAATCAGAATTTTTATATTATTAAAAATTAATTTCTTGCTATTTGATAAGTTCTATTCTACTTTAGGATATCTTTGATATATATTATCTGTTATAACTTTAACCCTTAGCAAAAAAGCTTACTATTAGAAATATCATTCCTAATTAATAGATATCTGATTTGACAGAGGGTTAATCTTATTAAGAAAGAATTTCAGGAGCAATCAAATAGTTTGGAATAGAATCCAAATAAAAGTTCAAATTATTTATGTTGTAAGGCTATAAAATAGTTTGATTAATTACCTTATAGTTTGAGTTAATTAAGTAAATTTACAGTGATCCTAACATATTAGCCATAATGATATTTTCTAGACAAACGTAACCATGAAATAATTCTTCATCTTAAAGACATTTTAAACATTACAGAACAGAGCAAATAATGAAGGCTAAGTTCATTTGTGTAATAGATGTTTAATCACTTAATAACAAAGATTCAAAAGTTTTACCTATAAATTAATAAGTAATAATCGAAATTGTTTCAGTATCTTCAAAAATACTTAATACTGGGTAATAGTTTATAATTTTTCCACTTTTGAGAATTTTAATATAATTATTAATGATCTCATTCTATTCTTATGATTTAATATCATTTTTTTAATATATTTATGCTACATATTTTTTATTTTTTCTTTTTAAGAGAACTGAAAAAATATTTGACATTATGACTTCATTGATTCGATATTTTTAAAGAAAGTTATTTTATTTTCCCTATAGTTTTAGTATCTTAAACCATTCCCTCTATGATACAGGATGAACAAATATAAGTATGAGGCGACCTTGATTATGAGAGATTTTAATCAAAAATAGTTAGCTTTAATGACAAACAAATTTTTATTTTTCTATAATACAATCACTTAAAAATAGACATTTGTGTTTCTAATATATAAGTATTCCTTCTGCAATTTGTAATAAAGGGAATTATATTTGATTATTTGTAATAATATGACATGACCCCTATATATCGTACTTCGATTATTAAATTTGAAGATCAATGAATGGCATCTAAAAAATAAAGGATTGTAATTCATGACAATTCGGAAATTTTAACACCCATGATAAATTAACATTTGATTCATTTATTTAAATTTTCTACAACAGTTCAAAATCTATTTTATTAACCTTATTTTGCTTCATTAATACAGTAAATATTTATATTCACATAAATTATAAAAGATCATTTGATATAAAAAAGAGGAAGACAAATTTGTAAGATGGATTTAACGTAAAAAGTTCTTGATTAGGAATTTAATTAGATTAAATTATCACTTTAGAAACTACTTTAATAAGTGATATTATAAAAATTTTAATAATCATCTATTTTAATAATTTTATAAATATATGTTAAACTAATTGTTTCAATTCATTTTCATATTTTCATTTAGAATATGTTAGATGTTAATTGTTAACAGGATCCCTATAATGTTCAAGTTAAATTTCATATCTACTCATTCAAGTTAGCATGAAACAGATCATTTTTATAGTAGAAAGAAAACTTAATTGATGTTAAAAAAGAATTCTATAACTTGAGGAATTCATCAAAACACCTTAATAGTTTACAAATTGAATCCAAAATAATTGAGAATATTCAATATTTATTGGAATAAAAAAAAGAAAAATGAATTATATATGAAGTATCATAATTGGAAGATTATTAAACTAAATAATTAATTCATTAAAATAATAATGCTTTTTGATAGTTTATTTATGATTAAACAAGATAAATAAACTATTTAAGATAGACTATAAGAAATTGATAGTTAGGATCAGAGCTTTCTAAAAACTTAACATTAAAATAAAAAGATACAAAAAGTTATGAAGCTTTAAATGATATATCGTATCAATTAGATTTATAACATCATTTAAGAAGTTAAATTCAATAATGATATTCAGTGTTTATTAAATTTAATTAATTAAAATAATAATCCATAAAACACATAGTTTATACAAAATCATTAGATGGAAAAATCATAATCCATAATTAATTCAGCTTTTTTATAACTGAAAGTGTGAAATTTGCAAGCATATCTTCTATTTGATATATTTCTGAATTATCTTCTAATTTAGCTCTCCAACTATGATTGTCTTTATTATTAACTAAAAGTTTGATTTTGATATTAGTAAGTTATAGAATATTCTGAAGCTTATCTTTTAGCTTATTTGAAGATCTTATTTTTGATATTTGCATCATTCTCAATTTTAATTTCTCTTCTTTCTTTAAAATTATCAACAATCATATTATTCATATTTTTAATAATGTGATTAAAATATTTATCAATAGAAATCATCTAAAATTCTGATAAATTCTAAAATAAAAATAGTCAACTTTATAAATTTGTGAATTTTAGAGTAATAGTGTATGTAGATATAGTGATTATAATATATTAGATGATGGGAATATTAATTATATTTAATTAAAAATAGAATATTTTGTTACTTAATAAACTATAAAAAAATTTAAATAAATTCATTATAATTTAAGTTCATCAAGCTCTTATTTATTATAAGTGGAATTATAAAATTTACTTATATATTTGAGATGATTTTTAACATCCTATATTTTTTCACTTATCATAAGATCATGTATAATTTAAAAACCTGAGAAATACTCTCTAGATAAGTCTGCAGCAAGAGGATCATTAAAAAGACGAGTGAAATCCTACCTAGAGAAATTCTTTTTGTTTTCTCCATTCTTTAAGAATGCTTTAATTGCTTAATTATCTACATTTTTACTACCTAATAAAATAAGTTTAATGAGTACATAAATATTTTTTCAATAATACTCCAAAATTTTTAGGTATGTTCTTTGTTTCTGATTTTTGTGGTAATTATTTATCTTTTTGTTTATGAATTTTAGACTTTTTATTAATTTTTAAAGATTATGAATAGTCAAATGATCCTTCAGTTGAAATAGATGAACGTTGGTAATCCTCCATTTTAAGTTCTATGATACATTATATTTAAGTTTCATCTTTTACATATCTTCTAAATGAAGAATTAGGATTAAAATAGTTAATTGAGGGATATTTGAATGTTTGATTCTCCTTTTAAATCATTTTGAATTTATATATATATATTTATTAATAATTATAGCATAAATTCTATGAAAAAATAAAGAATCATGAATTTGATAAGACTTTAAATTCTATCAATAATCTTAATATTAAAATATTCTATCTAAAATTGACATTTAATAGTATCTATGTTGTAATAAATGAAGAATAGTTTATGTTTAAATATAAAAACAGCAATTTTTCATCTTAAAATGATTTTAATATTAAGAGGAATATAATAAAATAAAAAATAATAATGACTTAGTAATTATCAAACATTGAAAAATTAAAATAGTAACTTCATCTTTAACATTAAGTTAAAGAAATATTATCAAAGGAATATGTAGATCTATAGGATAAGGAGCATTTTTAAGTATAATAAGATCAATCATAAGGTTATTGTTGGAGTTTTGGAGAAATCAAAAAAGTTAAGAAATGCCAACGATTTATAATTATTAGCCATGGCATTCTCATCAATTAAATATTTTTAAGAAATGAGCAAGACAACCAGTTAGGATGAAATGCTAAATTTATTTAGAGTATCAATATTACTTAATAAAGGAATTACAATATATAGAAGTACCTGCCAGAAGAACTTTATTTCGCTTGGGAGATATAGGAAAGAATTTTTATATAATTTTGAGCGGTTCAGTTTGGGTATTTAAAACCTTCATCATTTTAGGTCTTGGTTGCTAAATCAGGGTTATAGAGTGGTACATTCACAAAAAAAGATGAGAACAATAACGATAAAATAGAAATAGATGAAGGAACCTTTTAAGTATATAAAGTATAAATTCAATTAAGGATGAATTTGAATTCATGGAATTGGATGATGAGAGTATGTTAACTTAGAAATATCCAAATCTAATGAAAGTAGGTTAAATAGCAGCAGGTGGCTCTTTTGGTGAAATAGCTCTTACTAACTTTATCCCAAGACAAGCTACTATTGTTTGCAAAGAGAATTCCTAATTCATTACATTATCAAGAGAAGCCTTTAATAAATTTCTATGTACAGACTATTTAATTATAATTATATAGCTGAATATTACAATAGAATCCAATAAAAGAATTTTGAGTTTCTTAAATCCATTCAGATATTTAAAGGTTGGAATGATGCAGAATTAAGTTAAATGCAATATCATCTTTAACCTTTAGAATATTGTTATGATACTTTAATATATAAAGAAGGAGAATTTGTGAAGTAAAATAATCTATATATATTTTATATAGAGGTGTTTATTTTGTATTAGAAGGATAAATAGAAATTACTTAAAATGCAAAAAATGAATTTCATTTTGATTAACAATATGGTCGAAAATTATAGAGATCATATAGTAATGTATGTAAATTCTATTCAAGGTCAAAAGAATATACAATTAAAATTAAATAGATGTGGATATGGATAATTATTTGGATATTTAGAAATAGTATCTAATTAAGAATTTCGTTAATCAAAAGCTGTTTGTTTAACAGAAAAATCTAAAATGTTATTCTTACCAGCAGATGTATTAATTTAATATTAAAATTTAGAGATTTAAATTATATTGTTGTAGTGGATCAACATTGACTGAATTGAATAAAATGATTGAAAAGTTAGATGAAAATAAGAGAATTTCTAAAGAAATATTTTTAGGTAATTCATATCAACATTCAAGTGGATTTGATTTTTTGACTTAATCACCTAATTATTTAATTAAAACATAGGATGAAGATGAAAAATTTGCATAAGTAAATAAAACATAATAAAATGGTTAATCATCTCATAAAATAAATCATTCTTAAAAAAATACAGAGAGGAAATCTTAAAAAGCTGTTAAAGAAATTTTAGGCAAGATATAACATTAACCTTCTAATATTTAAAATTATTATGAATTTATTTCATCTCATTCAAAGGAAAAGAAACTAGAACTCACTTTTGAATGTCCATTAATTGAGATTCAATAAAGTAGAAAAGCAAAGATTCTATAATAATAATTATAACATTAATAATAAACTTATCACTCAAAAACACCAAGTTAAAACATTGATTCAAGAGTTTGTTTGATTTAGAGTTTAAAACTTCCTAAATTATTTAAAAAACAAAAGAACAAAGAAGATGTTTAATTATAAGTATATAAATTTGTTCGATAATAAAACTAAAGTGTTTAGCTTTATTGATAATTTTGATATTGTATATATATATATATATGTATTTTGTTTTATAAATTTAATTTTAAAATGTTATTAAGAAAATTAGCATTACTTTATGAATTCTGTTAATAGTCTGCAAGACAATGTTTTTAATTTTTACAATAAGATCCTATTGAACAATCAGGATAGATTTCAACTTTATATTAATAAGCAAATAAGGATGAATAGTAATTGAAGAAATAATCATTATAATAAGATTATGGAGATTTAGAAGACTAAGATGGAGATCATGTAATAATTAAATTTTATATAGCATTTAATAGAATAAGAGAATCCTTTTGAAAAGTTGAAACCTACCTTAAATTTCTAAAACACTATTCCACAATAAAATAATAATAATTAAAAGGAGCAAATAAAATATGATGAAGAAATGGTTGAAATTCATTAAAATAGTAATTGGAATAATCATGAACTTGATTAAGAGAATGAACATATTGAATTATGATTAATAGATAAATTAATTATTTATTATAAATACACAAGTGATTATGTTTAAAATCAAATTTTTAAGGATCTTTCACTTTTGATGGCTCCAAACTTTTCATTTAGTAAATTTTTGATTTTAAAATAATCATTATATGTCCATGACTTTTTGGAATCTTATTATTCATTTAACATTTTCAAAGCCTAATAATATATATATTATATATATTACTTATGTCCATGTTACAAATCTACCTTTAACTCTTAGTCTTTCTTCAGCAACCTTTTATCTAATATGATAATGAACTTTCTTTTCATAAGTTCTACTATGCTTTTTTTCTAAATATCTCTTAACTTTCTATTTCCTTGCCATCTCTTTTAATGATTCATGATTAGTTGATGTACATAATTATTCAACCCAATCTTCAAATTTCTATGTTTCTTCATCATTCAGTATTTCCTCACATAATCCTACCTTAATTCTTAGTAAATCATCACTCTTAACATATGTAGATATGAAATCCTCTTATTTTTGAGATGGATTGAATCTCATTTTCAATTTCTCTAGATGTTACTCTACATTAGTTGGAACAGGTAAATCCTTAGGATATGAAAACTTTTTCTAATTTTCTTTTAAAAGCATAGCAGCTAACATTTCTAAATCTCCTAAAGCTGGATGATCCTCAGATTGTTCTGTTGTAGTACATTCTTCTAGGCATACTTTCTTTTTAGGATCTTCATCCAATATAAATTCATCTTAAAATACTGGACATGGTTTCTTATAAGAAGACAATTATTAAGGAGTGTAAACAGGAACTTCAACTTCGTTTTCAAATTCTTCACATTACTATAACATTATATTATTATAACATTATACTTATTCATCATCAGCTGAATAATGTGGTTCATCGTAGATTATTGAGTTTTCATTCTCAATATTACCTGAACATTCCATTATTCCTTCTTATCTCATTTATGTATTACTATTCATTTTCACACAAGATTTTATATTTAAAAAAATCCTTTGAATTATCTCTAATTAATCCTCTGTTCTTAAATTCCTGCTATACCACCCCCTTATAAAATTTAACATTACAATCATTTATTAAAGAATTACAAATTTATAATAAATCTTAGAGATTCATTACAAATCATTCAATCTTTTTATTAATTAATATAAATAGTTTACAAATTCTCTCTTTATATATTAAAATTTAAATATTAACTGTTAGTAATATAATTACAATGTAAAATTATAGTAGTGATGAAGAAATCTCATCTATTCCAGAAGATGAATATTTAGATTATGATAAATAAGATTTTGAAGCCATTTAATTTGCTAATAACAAATAAAACATATATGAAGATAATCAAGAAAATGATAATGAAAATGATGAAGATGAGGAATTAGAAAAGGATGAAAAATTATAAAAAACTGGAATTAAATTTAAATTACCATAAAGAAACTAAATTGAAAATAAAAAAGCTCTATCTAATTTAACTAATCATAAAGTATTGATTGAAACTACAAATTAATTAAAAAATATTAGCAAACTTTAAAATAGACCTTCTACTTCTACTACTTCATCTTATAAACCTATTTATACTTCTAGTATTCATTAAAGTGAATAAATGCAAAAAAAATATAATTATAAATAAAAATCATTTAATACTTTACCAAAAAGATCTGATCCTGTTGCCAGATATTAATAAATGTCATCATAATGGAAGAAAACTAAATTTTTATAAAATACTAATGGATTAAAAGAAGGTAGAAAATTAAATTTAGATACAAGAATTGAATAATAAAAATAAGAATTAAAAGAATCTGGAATGTTTCATAGATACATTGCAAAATCGTAATTATTTTTGTGATTTTATTAACTTTTCATAAATATATTTTAAATTTTTTCTTTGTTCTGATAAGATCAATGTTAATTAAGAAAAGAAAAGATATGATTTTTTTAATTTAGCCAAATATGAATAAAATTCTTATTTAAAATGAAAAACTGCATTTTTAAATATGGAAAATTGAATAGATTATCATCCAAATAAGAATTATTTTGTTCCTAGTAATTTAGTACATTTTGAACATCTATGTTATACATCTTTGCAATTATTCAATAAGCAAGGGAGAAATGCAAAAAAAGAAGTAATTATTAATGCAAGTAAAATAATAATTACTACGTAACTTCCTTTTCCCATTTCATAAGAAATATCAGAGTCTACAGGAATATTGCATTTTGAACATAATAGCTTTTCTGATTTTCTAGTTTAGGGCACATTTGGGTATGAATTTTCTTGTTGAATAATTGTATTAGTTTTAATTTGTAACTCAATATTATGTGATCTAATAGTTTGATATGTTCCCTATGATTATCCACTTCTGGTTTATTATTACTATGTGTCTAAATTATTAACACTCATCAATTATTTATGATATTAATTAATAATGAAAGTCTTAATAAATTGTTAATAAATATGTGAATAAAACTAATAAAAATCATACATTTAGTAAATTAATTCAAATTTAACATACTTACTTAACATTTTATTAAAATTTTTCATCTTCTTCAATAACCGAATCTAATTTATCATTAATTATGTTTTCAATTCTGGATACTTTATTGGAATATGATTAGGATCCTTTACTACTTAAACTTTCAAAAGAATTCATTTAACAAAAGGAAGGACAATAAAATTGAAATTCAGCATATTTTCTTGGACTTTTTGTCCTTTTTCTTTATTCTGTTCTAATTCGATAAGATGTAGGATTGCATTTCTTAATTTAAGCAGCTTAACATTCTTATCCAATAGAATGGGTATCTTTATATTCTTCTATAGAAATAATAATAATAATTTAATTTACTAATTTATGATAGACCAGAAAACCCTGTAGCTTTATCCAAGATCTCTTATAAGATATTAATATTCTCAAGTTTACAACTAAAATAAGGGTGTTCCAAACATTATGTTGCTGAATATCTAGTTTTAGGATTTGGATCCAACATAGATTTTAATAAACTAATTGCCTCTTTTTATAATTTATATTCAATATCTTGATAATTGACTTGACATAATTTATTTTGTTCCATAATTTCCATTGTATTTTAAGCTCGAAACAATGTTTTCTTTGTTAATCTATGATTATTATTAATCTTACAATTTATAAAAGATAACTCCTGCACTGAAAATGTCACATTTATTAGTGAAATATTCATCATTATTAGAATTTTTAAGTATTTCAGGGGCAATATATCCAGGGGTACCACAAATACTTACTTTTTGTTCAGGTTATGCATATATAGCCAAACCAAAATCAATTATCTTTAATGAAGTAATATCATTTTATTTTTATAATAAAATATTTTCTAATTTAATATCTCGATGGATTATATTGTTAATTTCTAAATATTTTAATGCTGTTAATATAATCTATATAAATATTATATATATAAACTTTGATAGCTTCTCTGATTTAATGAGAAGGTATTTAATCATCTGGAAAGGTTTTTATATAATTATAAAGAGTATCTCCTTATAAGTAATCTGTTACTAAATAATAAGAGTTCTCTCCTTGGTATATTTCATGTAACTTCACAAAATGAGGATGATCTATTTTCTGTAAGATTTAAATTTCTTATTATAATCTATTCTAATAATGAATAAAAAAATTTATACCATTCGATCAGATGACTTTTTTTATAAGAGATACTTTTTAGAAATGCACTTTGCTGCATATTCAAGAATACTCTTCTTTACTTTAACTAAGCAAACCTAATTTAAATTTTAGTATCACTTTTGAAGATGCTCCAGATCCAATAATGGAACCTGAATCATAAAAAATAGAGATATTTCCAAAAAATACTTTAGGAGACAAGTGAATTTTGAGTAGATTTAGAGAATTATGATCAGAATCAAACCATTTAATTCGATTCACATAGTAGATTCCAAATGAACATAATTCATCTTGTTCTGAAACCTTCCACATTACTCTTGTTTCAAAATTATATTGTATTATATACTTAGGATTCAACATATTTTTATGCTATAATATATATTCAGTAGACTTACTTCACTTAAGATCATTTAATCTTCTAAGACTTATAAATAATATGTTTTGCTTTTCAAAATATGTTTCCTTACACAATTCATTTGATATAGTACTTGCATTAATATTATATTACTTTTATTACTCTCTTATTAATATATATTCAGATATATTAATTAATTTGTTATATTTAAATTCAAAATGCAAACCTAAGACCTCGTTGAATATTTAGAATAAGATGTCAATAGCTTTAATTAACTCTTCACTTTCATTCCTTATCAACCTTCATTCTATAATTATATCACCAAGTATCAATTGAAATCAATTCAAATTGAATTAAAGAGTGAAGAATTCTTACCATCCATCTTTGTTAATGATAAATTGCAACATAAAATTAAGTATCATCAACAATTCAAATAAGCATATGGATTAACTAATTCTTTTGAATTTGATAATACAATATCCATTGATATTATTTCTTATGACATAGAAGAAACTTATAAAGAGTAAAGAAACATTAATTATTAATTAGAAAATTGGAAAATGATAACATGTATCCAATCTTATTAAGCTTTGCGGTTACTAATTCAAATTGGAATGTTGAATCACTTGTTCAATTTATTAATCAGAAAGCCTGCTCATATAATACAATTAATATTGATCTACTTTATTTGAATTTATTTAGATTTGCTTTGTATTTCTAAAAATCTAATCAAATCACTACTTTCCTACATTACCCATCTATCAAATTTAGATTATAAGAAATAAGACATACTAATAAATTTGTAGAAACTCCTTTAACTAAAATGATTACAAAATCAAGATCAAGTCAAAAGAAAGAAAAAGTTCAATATAAATTTGGATTTCTCTCTCTAGATTAATCTAATAGAATCTTTCCTTTAATGATTTAAGATCCTCTTATCTTTTAATTACCTTTAATAGGTACTTGGTTATATTCAAATGATCCATATGATGAACCATTAAATAATAGATAATATATTTGGACTATGTTAACAGAATTTATTTGTAGTCCATACATAACCAGAAGAATCTGTAAAGATTAATATGACTAATTTTTATTCATTCAATTTCAAAAGAATCAGTCTCCATAATTCTTTGAAGTAAGTATTCAAGAAGATCCTCAATATAAAATAGTAAGATCTTAAGAGAAAATACTTAATCTTGATAATCATTAAATTGATCTAGCTTCTGCCTAACCTTTTAATTAAATAGATAAAGTGTCAGATCTATATAATCCTATCAACAATATTAATCAGATCTCAAATAAAAATGCAATTGCTACCTAAAATATTAATAAATAGAAACTTTAATCTGCAGAACCTGTTTAAACTATAGAATAATCATTTTAATAGGAAAGTACAGTTAAATAACCACCAGTTCCTTAACCTTTAGATTCTAATCAAAGTTATTAATCTGCAAACTTCCCTTAAAATTAACATTTAACTGAAAGATTAGTTATTATGTAATCAGAATAATTGAAACTAATGTAAACTCAAATTATAGATTTGTAAAGAGCTTTACTTCATTAAGTATTATTAAATATTAATAATTAGATGTAAAAACCTCAAATTTAATAACCTATGAGTCCTCCAAGAAATGAATAAACATTTCATCCTTCAAATAAAAGAATGGGATTACCTGTATAAAAAATAGATTTCTTAAGTGAATAATTAAAATTAAAAACATAATCCAAAAAAAAAGAATAAGAAATAGAAGAGATTGCATAATAGATTTTATGTGATAAGATCGAATCTATGTAAAATTCAACAAGAAATTCAATTAATAAATTAATCTCATAAAATAATTCAAATAACTCTGAAAATTCTAATCAATTTAAAATTTCAACTAATAAAAAATAATCATTAGGTGATTTAATTATTTCAATGAAAGATAGTGACATTAAAAGATAAATAAAAAGAAATTAAGCCATGATTTAAGATATAAATGGAAATACTCAACATGAAAATAATCATTAATAATATCATTCTTAATCCTTGTCACCTTTTTCTTTACAGAATTAACAATCAGATAAAAATCACTTTTTATAAATTTAATCCCCAACATTCAATCAATAAAAGGATGTTTCATAGTTTAATTATATGACTAATAATACATTTTAATAAGAAAGTCCTATCAAATATGTTAGAATTGACTAATTTACTTAATAATTATATTAGTAATAATAATAGTAATAGTTGTAGTAATAATAACTAGTATAATTACAACAATAATAATAATAATAGTAATAATAATCGTAATAATAGTAATAGTAATATTTATAATTCTAATAATAATCATAATAATAATAATAATAATAATAATAATAATAATAGTAATAATAACAATAATAATCATATTCATAATAACAATAATAATAATAATAATAATAGTAATAATCCCAAAAAAAATAGATACAATCTTCAAATATCAAATAATCAGGTTTAATTTCATCTATATAGAAATCATATAATAAGTATTTATTTTATTTAATGACTTTAGAGAGAATATTATGATGAATAATTAATTAGAATAGAGTGCAGGATCTAAAGCAATGCCTAAGATTAAATTTAATTTAAAGGATTATGACGAGTCTGATTCAGATGAAGAAGTTAAGAAATTGTAAATGAAATACCTAAAGAAAAGATGATTTTAATTAATTTATATTTTTCTGTTTTTTTTAAAATAGTTATTATTAATAGTATTTAAGATTTCTATTAATTGAACGTATAAATTATAATAAATTAGGCAATATTATAAAATTTTATTTAAAATCAAAATACTGAACAATTAATCATTTTAATTAATAAAAAAGTTAAGAATTTTATTATAAAATTGATTATGAATTTAATAATTAATTATTAATATATATATATATATATATGTATATATGTATTAGATTCATTAAGTTCAAATTTTTAAGGTTGAATTTAAGCATAAAAAATTAATTCTACATATTAATATTGCAATTTTCCATAACAAATTCTAACCAGATTAGATTTTTAATTAGTATTATAAAATTTATTCGTTCTATATCAAATATTACTCATTTCGTTATTATGATATTAACAAATTCTATTCTCTATTAACAAGACTAAAAATAGTTCAGATAATTATGGGTAGATTTTGATTATCAAATAATTCGAATGATTAAGGATTGCAATGTGTGATTGAATTAAAAAACAATTTAATAACGAATTTATACATCAACACAAATATTTAGAAATAATAATTAACAGAATGTTATATTTAATTAAGATTATAGAAAAATGCTTATAATTTTAGATTTGCATTTTGATAATAACTATGATCATTAGTGATTATATGATAATAATTTAAATTTAATAAGAAAAATACATATAATATAAAGTGTGGAAAGTATTTCCTGTAGAAAGTAAGAAAAAATAGAATAATGAGAATATAACTAATATTTATAAATAAAAAAGATAATTTTAATTATTAAAAATAAATGTTAAAATTTTTGCCAATTTTAATAGGTTAAGTTTTGTGTCAATTATGCTTACAACCTATAAAGTATGAATCCTACTAATTTTCAATTAATATAATTGATCCAAAATCAGGTTAAATATGGAATTATGATGATTTAAAATGTAAGATTGAAATAATAAATTAGAGGTAAATCCAAATTGCCCAGCTACAACAACTAATTTAAAGGATATAGAAAGCTCAGTTATCTAATTGTTAGATTTACAAATGATTTTGGATATACCTGAAAATATAACAATTACAAGGAATAGGACAGCTGGTCCAACTGTATAATATAAGACTGATGGGATAAAGATGAGAAGCTAAGGAATAAATAATTATGTTTCATATCAATCTGAATTCTTTTAATTCACATATGCAGAACACAGCCTTGATTTTCAATCTTAAACACCTGATGGAGAATTACAAATATTTATGATCTAGGATCAATTGTATTAATTATGTGATATTGAACCAATTTATTCAGTTATTTCATTTCCCATCTATAAATTGTCTGAATAATAGCCATTAAAATTCAGTGGATAATTCAACATGAATGCTGATACAATGAGTGATTTCAACTTTAAATAAAATATTTTAGGCACTATTAAATCTGATATATCCTCTTATATCACATATAAGGCACCAATTAATATCCCGTATTGATATTTAATAATTTAGACCTTGTTCAACTGCTTATTGGTATGTGTCCACAAATCCATTATTCTTTAGATAAGATCAACTGGATTTATTATTGTAATAGAATCAATAAAATAGAATGTAAAGAGTAGAAATGGAAAATATTGAAATATAATACAATAAAGGAGTAAATAAATATTATTAAATATAGAAAATATTATTTTATGGGGATGTTGAATTTGCTGATTATAATGATACTGTTGAATGGGCAGCTACTTGGGTAGCTTCTATAATTCCATGTTTAATCTTTGCAATCGTTGTTTGTGTTTATGGTTAATATGAGATATCAAATATTGGAAGATATAAAAGACCAGAAATGAAACATAATGAAGCTGAAATTGAAATGCTCAATTAAGAAGAAAAATAAATGTAATGAATTATTATATAATGTGATGATAATTTAAATAAAATTATTTATTATTAGTATTTATCAATTATGAATCAAAACTAGAAAATTATTTTAGAATCTGAAAATATGTCATTTTAAATAACAAATACTGTTGAACCAAACTTTGCTCTGCGCATCTCTAAAATTTTTTTGAAAAACTTTAAATAAGTTGATATTCATGCCCTTGGTTCTCTGCAATAGATTTGTTTATATAATTTAATGATTAAGGTTTGGCTACTATTTAAAAGATTGAAACAATGACTGAAATATTTGAAGAAGGATATCACCCAAAAATCATTGTATCTTTAAGAGTCACTGATAATGGTTTGTAGATATTGAATAACTAAAATTTTAATATGAATTTTATTTGAATAATAAATAAAAATTTTTAAGTTACATATAATAATCTCATCTATTCTAGTTTATCAATTAAATTGGTAAGAAATTAGAAAATTCAAAGTAATTAGTAAATTTCTATATTTAATCAATCGTTTTTATTGAAGAGAGTGATTTGTTTAAATGCTACTGAATGTAGCATTAAATTACTTTTAATAAATAATTTGTCATCTATTCAATTTACTTTTCTAACTCTTCTAATTTATCTTGTAAATTATCAATCTAAAATACTTATCCGCCATTCTCAATCACTAATTTCTTATAATAATCTACCTAAGTCTCCAACTATGTATACATATCTTTATATGAATTTATTAGTTCTAAATCTTATATTTGGATTGATTAATTATTAATTAATACATTAGATTGCATCAATCTTTAATAAAATCTGCTCAAATGATAAAATTTACTCAATATTATTAATGTTAATTATTAATAATACCCTGTGGAATTAAAATCTGTCTAATTTCCTTTTATTATTACTTCCTTTTAGATAAGCTCTATCATATTTCTTAATTTTTAATATTCTATTCTCTTATCTTCTTTACTCTTTTCGATATTCTAATTTTATATTATTTCAAAATATTATTATATTTCGATTATTTTTTATTTAATTTCTAAACACAATCTTTCTTAATCTTACTGTAAATTAATTTTAACCTTAGCATCTTATAAAAAATTGAAAAATTAATAAAATCTTTTTTTGTTTTCTTCAAATTTGTCGTTTAATTTCCTTAAAATATGATCTAATTTTTTATTGATATATTTATAATGATGTATTAATTCCTTATTCTCTTAACATAAAATTTCTATTTTATTTAATAGTAATAACTATTCTTAAAATTCTACTTCCAAACTAGTAAATTTTTATTTAATATTTTATATCTCTTATTACAATTGATTAATCACATTAGAATATTATGTCTTTAAAATTATAAATTCAAATTCTAATATCTCTTATTTTAATTAATTATCTTGCGAATCATAAGATTTATTCAATATCTCATTAAGTATTTTCAACTCTTAATTAACCAAAATTTATATATAAATTCTTTCTTTTTCAATTTTCTTTGAAATTGAATGAAAATATTATTTTTTAGTCTAATTGTATTATTATAAAAGTTCTTCTATTAAAGAAAACCTATAAATTTAATTCTGGATTATCTATTATATTCTAATTTCATTTTAAATAAACTCTTAATTATTAATAAGATTTTAATTCTTAGAAAAATTTATCAAGAATAATTTTATTGATTAAAATTGAGTATTAAATTCATATTTTAATAATTCTAATTACTACTAAATTTTCTAACGTATTTCATTTACAAAATTTATTCTTCTCATTTTTAATTTCTCTTCTAACTAAAGCACTTCTAAATATTTTTCTTCTAGAACTTCATTAAGATTTCTAATTTTATATTCTAATTCTTGGTATTTTTATGATGTACTTAATATATCAACCTTATTACTATTTTATTTATCAATAACATCAGGATTCTCATTTTTTATATCCAATATTATTTTATTAAGAAACTATTATCTCTCTAAAATAGTGGGTATGAATGAAGTTTAATCAGATTCATCTTCAGTTGCAACCATCATCAAATATTATAAATTAACACCTTAAAATTTTGTTTAAATTCTTTTTAAATTTGATTCTAATAATTATTTGATTTGTAATAATTAAGTTACTAATTAACTCTAATAACTTTTAAACTCTAATTTAATATCTTAACTAATCTGATTTAATTTATTATAAGATTGATTAAATTATAAGATAGATAGAACATCATTAAAATTTTTACTATTAATCTATAATTCTAAATTCTATTGTATCATCTTATTTTAATGTTATAACTTTGAATACAAAATGATTTATAATGTTCCAAATTAACCTAAAAATTAGGTTGGCTAATAAAATGTATCTAATTTCTTTTGAAGTTTTTTATGCTTTAAAATCAAGTTTTCACATAAAGTTTTTTTCAAATTGAAATTAAATTAATAAGACAATCTTTTCAATTCATCTAATTATTATTTAAATATATCTTATATTTCATTTGAAAAAGTTTATTAAATTAAATTAGTGTTAATGAATTTTTGAAACTAAGTATTTATTTTTTTTAAATATTGATATTCTTAATATATTACTTCATTATTCTAATTGATATGATAATAAAGATAATTCAATTAACTTTAAATTTATTATTACTCAAGTGTATATTAATAACTGATTTCAATTTATTAATTAGATTATTGATTGAAATAATTTTTCATATCAGAATGATTTTCTTTTAATAAATTTAAAAGATGTTATTTTGTTAGTTCTTATACAAATAAAGGATTAATTAAATTAATAATCTATTATTTTTACCATTCATATAATGGAGAATTTAAGATTAAATGAATTCTTTATTCTAATGTCATTTGGTTTAATTCTATAATTTATCAAATTAATCTTACATTGATAATCAATATCAGTCAGTATTTGAAAATATAAGTTTCCAAAGTCTTTTACTTATTAAATATCAAATTACATTTATTCTTATATTGTATAAAGATGTAATTGATTGTTAAAATTATTATGTATAAATAATTGTTGATTTATTCCTTTAAATTAAATATTTCCTAAATGATCTCTTGAAAATAAACAAAGATCATAAGTTTTCTATTTAATTTTTTATCTACAATACTAATTTTCTAGATTTATAAATACCTTATAAAATAATCGTTCTTTTTATCCAAATGGTAGGAGTTTGAATTCATATTATTAAAAATATTAATTCCAAAAATATATTTAATGTTAATCTAATTAGAAAATACAATCATTCTATGTTTTTAAAAAAGTAAATTGCAATTTTTCCTTATAATATTCATAATGATCTTAATCGTTAACAAACAACGAAATTTAATGTTTATGTTAAAAATTTAAATTAATCTCAATTACCAAAATTTTTTTTTCTAAAGTTTTTAGGATGCCAGAATATAGTTTAATCTTTCCTATTTCATTTATTTTTTCTAAAATTTCAATTTGTTATCCATTAAAGAATAAGAGTTATTTATTTTGTGATGACATTTACATTTAGTAATTTAATATATTAAATTATTTAATAGATTAATCTTTTTCTATTAAATATTTTGTATTTAATTTTAGTTATTTATTCTCCAATAATTCACTAAGAATTTATTAATTATAATATGTAGTAAATTGATTAAATAACATTATAAGGATACTAAATTTAGAAATATGATTAATATTTAGTAGGAGATTAATTTAAAGTTTATAAAGCAAAAATAGTTTAAACAGGGGAATTAGTAACTTTAAAAGAATAATCTAAAATTACATTTCCAGAAGCGAATTTATTAAGGCTTCAATAATGTATCAAATAATAACACATTATTGAAATCAAAATTTTTGAAATACAATAATCAAAAGTGTTTATAATTCTTGAGAAAATGAAAAAATCATTACATGATTTTATTTTTGAAAATGAATTCATAAATAAATAATAAATAGAAAAATGCCTTTTATTCCTTTAGGTATTGTTTAATATATACTTCATTAGATAGTTTAAGCTATTTAAGAATTGCATAGATTCGACACATTTCATAGAAATTTAAAACCTATAGACTTTGTTGTTTGTGAAGATTAAGATAAATAGATTAAACTCAAGCTTTTAGACTTCGGATTAGTTTAATTTGATAATTGTGAAGATTTAAATAAATCACTTGAAATAGGATCGATTGAATATTTAGCTCCTGAAATTCTAGAAAATGAATATTATGATAAATCAGTAGATGTATGGTCTCTGGGAGTAATTTGGTATTAGATGCTAACTGGATAGAGTATATTTAAAGACAACAATAAACTGTTATCGTAAGAATCTATTTATGAATTTATTGAGTAAAATGGTAATTAAATAGATAGGAATATTAAAAAATTAATAAAATAAATGTTAGTAATCAAAAGTTAAGATAGGATATCTCTTAACTTATTAATTTCAAATTTATAAAAGTTTTGTTAAAACTAGACTAAATTTTACTTATAGAACTAAGAATAAGGTATTGTTGATTATAGTAATTTAAAATAATAATAGTGGAATGTTAACTATTAATTATAATTAAGCAATTTCTAATAATAATTATAAATTTAACTTGAAAATTAATTTGGAGAAGAATTATAATTATGTCTTGAAAAAAAATAAATATGTATGAAAAAAGTAAAGATTGAGATTATATAAGATGAAATCAATTAAAGCATTCAAAATCTATTATTTTTAAATTAGAAGGAATAGAATATTGATTAAATTTATGCAACATCAGAATAGGGATATTAGAATTATTTAGAAAAATGGTAAAAAAGAGATGATTTATTTAAGCAATTCCAACAAGAATTTTATGTTTAAACTAACGATATGATTTAAAAATAAGAAAAAAATATAGAATAACGTTGGGAAGAAAAGAAATGTGAAATTATTAGAGAAATAACTTTACAGATTAAATAACAACTTTTATTAGATTATAATTTATAAATGACAATTTATGAAAATCAAATTAGAGGAGAATAAACATATTTTAATGGTCCAATAGCTTTATAATAAAAAATAATTTAGGACAATAAAAAATAATTAGAATTTTTGAAATAATAATTAGATAATTTTTTGATTAGAACATAAAAATAATAATAATATGATATGCTCATAAATACTTTAAATGAAATTTAAGAATAGTAAGATTAGTTAGAAGATTAATAATCCTTATAAATAGCATAAAGAAATAGGAAATTTTAAAAATAGTTGATTATTATTAGAATTGAAATGGATTCTATTGAAAAGGAAATAGAATTGGAATATTTAGAAAAAAAATTAAAACGATAGAAAATAAATTTAGAGAATAAAACTAGGAATTTATTTAAAAAGTATTCAGAAATAGTAGATGCTCAAATAACAAAATTATAAGAATTATAACATAAAGATAATACGTTAATTACATAAAACTAAAATAATAGTTATTTTTTTGATAAAATTTAAAAATTATTTTTGTAGAGATAAAATTTTAATTAAGAATTACAATAATTATTTTAAAGTTGTTAAAATTAATAAATTGAAACTTTACTCCCATAAATTTAAAGAATTCAATTTTTTAATGAAAACCTTATTAAAATCAGTAATTATGTAGAATGGTCAACTTTATAATTAAATTCATAATCAATAATTTATTAAACATAAGATTAATCTAATTTGAAATAGTAAATGGAGGATCTCCTTAATTAATTAATTGATTTATATGGATTAATTTAAGCTTATTTAGAAACAGATGAAATTTAATGTACAGATATCAATATAATTAAAAATTAATAAGAGAATGTCAAAATATTGATTGAAACATTAAATTAATAAAGTGAAATATTATTAGAATGTTAAAGAAAATTACAATTAAATAATCTAGTAATTGAAGAAAATAGAAAAGAATTTATTTAAAATGGTATTTACAATTAGAATTTTTAAATCTTTTCTGAAAAAAATTATGAAGAATTTGCCTTTAAACTTAAAGAAATTATAAATTAAAAAGAATTAGTAAAATTCAGACTCAGATTTTTTGATGACAATGAGTTTTATAAACAAATTATAGATTAATGGAATGGAATTAAATCTAAAAAATAAGAATTATAATAAGAATTGCAAGAAGTAGTAGAATAAATGTATAATTACAGCAATAATTAATTATAAATACATATATCAAAAGTTTAAGTTTTATTAATTTAGATTAATTAAACACTTAAAACAATTCCATCCTTAAATTAAATTCAAAAATTTAATGAATAATATCAATAAAATCAAATTAGTTACTTAGAACTCTTCACTTTAATTGTCTATATCAAATTATATCATTGTTAAAGATACTTAAATAGATTTTTATCTCTCAAAAATAAAAAATTAGTTTAAGAGATTTAATAGTCTTAGATTTAAAGCTAAGTTTAAATGAATTCTTACAATTAATTAAATTAAGATATTCAATCATGTAAATAAGAAGAGTAGAAAATTCAAAGTTTAATTGAAAAATATCGTACATGTTTGGGCGGATAAATCGAACCTTTTAAAATTATGAAACTTTAAGAGGATAATGAATATATAACTAATCTAAACTATAATTATCAAAATAAGATTAAATAAATAATAAAAGTAAAGTTGCATAAATATTTAAATGATTAAAATCTCATAAATGAAATTATTAATCATTATCAAACCTATGAATTTTAACCACTACTCTTCTATAAAAAAGTAACAGAATAGCATAATTGATTTTTATACAACTAAATTTTGTAAACTATAATCAAATATTTAATCAAAATCAATTTAAATTTAGAGTGCTACTTGTGCTTTTAGTTAGCCTCATATTTATTTTAGTATTTTAATCATAATTATATCCAACAAATAAATCTAAAATATGTAAAAGTTTTACTTTAAATAGAGTTCTTTTTTAACAATAATCTATTTTCAATTATTAATTCATCTTATGATTCTGTTTCTATACTAATATTGTATTCTAAATTCTCTTATATAGGCTATTTTTTAATATAATTAATTACTGATGGAATAAAAGGAGATTAAATTTCTTTTTTTAATAATTTATTCCATGGAACACCTTATAACCAAATATGGTTCTTAATTTCTTCAGGTCCATTAAATCCTAATCTATTTATTTGTTTTCTCTAAATTAATTTATTTATAAAATCAGCAGCTTCAAGAGACCAATCATTTGGAATTTGATTTCTTTTTACTTAAACTTATTTGGATATGATTTAATCTTTAATTTCTTATCTTGATTTTCCATTATATGGTCTATGACCTAACATAAATTCATAAGTCATAACTCCTAAAGCAAAATAATCAACAGCAATAGTATGATTTTATCTACACATTACTTCAGGAGCTATGAATAGAATGAAATTAAGATATACCCATATAACCTGGGGTTCCACTATTATCTGATGAATTATCAGGTCTCCATATTCTAGCAATACCTAGATCAGTTAATCTTGCATAACCTTTGGAATCTAAAACAATATTTTCAGGTTTAACATCTCTATGAATAACATTTTAATTATGTAGATATTCAAGTGCTAATAGAATACAAGAAACAAAAAATTTAGTTTATAGTTCATTGAATCTCCTTAATCTTCCTAAATGTTGTCTTAAGTCGCCTCCAGTTAATAGATCCATAACTAAATATAAGTTTTCTCTATCTTAAAAAGAGTAGACCATATTAATTAAAAATGGATGTTTAAATTAAGTCAGAAGATTGCGTTCATTTAATACAGAATTCACACTTCTTTTAGCCATAATTTTAGCCTTTGACATTTCTTTCATTGCATATAGGGTTCTATTTTTTTTTAATTCAACTTTCCATACTTTACCAAAACCTCCTTTACCTATTATGAAATGATAAGCAAAATTAGATTTATTTACACAAATTTATGTGTCAATTTTTAGTTCTTCATCATTTTCATTATCATCATATTATTATTTTTTAATTGTTGTTTTTTATAATTATTATGTTGATCCATACTTAACAAGTAATTATTGGAAGATGTTTTCAAATTTTTTTAAGTTTTATTTATTATTTATATTTGATTAAGGTCCTTAAAATACCTAAGCAATATCATTCATATTAATATTTAGATTAATCAATTATTTTTATTTTAATGTCTTTTCTAATGATAGCTTATTCCAATTTAAGTAAAATTCATTTGCTAAATTCTTTTTTATTGGTATTTCAGATTGTTTTGGTGATTTTTAAATAGTTATTTGCATTGGACTTTTTGATCTAGATCGAAAACTGTCAATGCTTAAGAAATAAGGTGTTTTCTATAACTATGCATCGTCATTGAAATTGATGGAGTTACTAAAATTATGAATTCATATTACAATATAGTTCTATCTTGAGAGTTCTTTTTAATCGGATTTTGAAGCATTTTATCAATAGCAAGAGGGGATTTACTATTATGAAATCTATCAGATGGAAAATTGCTATTTATTTGATGATTTTTAGGCGAAATTCTCTCCTGTAAATTATGATAATGGTTATACATTATTAATAATTTTAATACTGCTTATTTAGAACTGATTCTTTTATTAAATTTATTGTAATATCTGTTTGGATGCACTTATGGCTTTACATATTGATATAATATTAAATTATTAAAAAGATAAGTATATATTTATTAAAATAAATAATACAATCAATAAATAGGAAGTGCTTATTTGAAAAGTTATTATGCATAATAATAACCTGTAAATTAGGCAGAACATCCAATTAAATAATAAATAAGACAACTTTAGATTCCATTAAAGAAACCTATATTTTATATAATTTAAATTACCCATGATTCCGTTTTTTTGTAAAATGTGTGTAGTACACATAATTACACCTCCATCCATCAATAAAGGTCTGAATTTTCTTTGAGATTTGAACAAAGCAGCCTCACATTATAGTTAAGTTTTAACAACATCCAAAGGATATGAAGCAAGACAACAAGCTATACCACTCAACCCTCCACAAACTAATGCCTACCAAAAATTAATATCATCTGAGCTATTCCTTTGTTTGAATAAATATTTTGTATATTCATATGTTGTAAAGAAAGCTAAAAAGCTTATAGAATTAATAAATACCTGCATTCTAAGGGACATCTCTAATTATTGTAGCCACTAATCCTTTGAACAATCCTCTAATGCCCTCTCTCTATAATAAGGTGATTACACATCTTAATGGAGACCTCAATTCATTATCAATATTTTTTATTTGCATTTGAAGTAAACATTTAATCATCTCAGCTGGACATACTACCATTGCATAAGCTACTCCACTGACTCCACCAGCAATTAGCCCTATTATAGAAATTTTATCTTACATGAAGCAAATTATGGTTGATTACTGTATGGATAAGGACAAAGCTCACGATATACTGCTTCATATACTGCAAACATTACTGCATTACAAGGTACTTCAGCCAATATTGGAGATAGCATTCCTTTATAATAAGCTTTAAACTAAGCTGAAATAATTCATTACTCCTTCTTTTTTATAAATGTCCAAACCCGTTCTAAAAATTGACTTTTTTGAGTTTCCCATAATCATTCTCACCTTAATAGTACTACAATATATATAAGATTTTTTACTCAAAAGGATGTCCAAAAAGTCTAAAACATACTCCTGCAAATGCTCCACTGAGAACATCGGATATTGATTGCTCTGACATACTGTATACGTTTTCTTGTTTGTAAGTTAAAATTATTAAATTTGCTTTGAGTTTGTTTTACAATCTCAATGGTCCAATAATGGGTAATAAAATTTTACTATAAATCTTTTAATTCGCAATATGATTAATAATTATTATAAAAAATTATTATAAACAAACTATGTAGCTTAAAAGAAGATTGATCTTTTCATTCAAAGATTCTCATTTATATCGATATATAAAATTATTTAATTTAAAATGATAAATCAAAATAATGTTCATAGTGATCGATTAATTCAGGTATTTTCTTGTGACATGCTTGATGGAAGCATCCAATAAGATAGATGGAAAAAAGGAAAGCTATTTATTATGGAAAAATCATTACATTTCTCATCTCTATTTAATTATTCTACAACCTCATTTGGATTCAATCAATAAATCACAAAATTACAATGTACATTCTTCTACCTATATAAGATTCCTAAATCAAAGAATTTAATGAAAATGAAGAAAATGATGTGTTGATAATTACTACTCACAAATAAAATTAACTGTTTTTTAGAAATTTCTATGCACAAAGGCCATAAATTATGGAAATTTTAAGAAGCATTAATTTAAAAAATGAAGATTTTGAACCCATCCTTGAAAATGATACATTTGATTGGGATGCCTATAATAATTTAAGTTAACAAATTCTACCTTAATTAATAAAACTTAAAGATGGCAATTAATACAATCCACCTACCATTTTTGAAATAGAAGGATTAGATATACATGAAATCTTTGCATTACTCTATGATGACATTCCTTATTAACCAAGTTAATATTTCAATCTTACAATAAAAGAAGTGGATAAAACAAAATAATATTAAAATGTTCTACATTTCTTTTTTGAATAAATTCTTGGAGATTAATAAATTAAATGTGATCCTTATGTTCCATAAGTACCTGAGTACTTAAGAACAGGCAATTAATCTAAAGGACCATCTCATGAATAATAATAAATTCAAAACTTACCTACTAGAACCATTAATTATGTGCATCCTACAAAATTACCATTCTTTGGTACTATTAATCCTAAAGTCAAAATGACTCAAAGATTGCTATTGATTAATTAAAATGAATTTATTGTCTAAGTTTAATCAGAAACTTCAGGATTACCAAAGAGTGATTGTTATAAAATGATGTCACATGAAAAAGCTATTAGAATTGGACATAAAAAATTGTATATATGTTATTTATTACACTAATAGTCGTATTGAATGTACATTTACTATTGAATGGTAATAAAGAATTATGATAATTTCTAATTAAGTAGATAATGCAGGTGCAATTGAATCAAAAAGAGTTCTTGAAACATATTATATACCATATGCTAAAGCAAGATTAGCAGAATCATTAAAATTAAAAGAATTATAAAAAGAATAATAATAACAATAATAACAATAATAATAATAATAATAATAATAATAATAATAATAATAATAATAATAATAATAATAATAAGACTAATTAAATTCAAGTCAAATTATTGCTGATTAACCTTCAATGGTTCATGTCAGAAGATAAATTAAAAGTGAAAGCTAGATTTTATAATAAAAATTTTTGATTAGTCCTCAAAAAAATTAAGATTTAAATTATGAGAGAATCCAAGAATTAGATTCAAAGTAATAAAAATTAGAAAATTAAGTAAAACAATTATAATTATAAATTGTCTTGTAAGAGAAATAAATCAAAAAAATAAATGATGAATAACAAGCTTTAATATTAATAAGTAGAACATTAGGCATAGTCATATTGTTTATTCTTTTAACTAATTGGCTAATGAAATGATAAAGAATTTTTTTTTTAATTTCTTAAATTCCATTTCAATTTTAATATGAATATAAGATTTAAATTAAATGCTGAAAATATCAAGGAATTCTTAATCTAATATCTATATAAAATTATTTATATAGCACTCGAATATCATAAATTAAATTTCATCATATAATAAATGATTATGTATTAATAGGAACATAATATTATTTTATTCTACTTCTTTTTCATGTATATCAAATTAATAATAAAACTATTATTTGTGTACTCAATAAATCTTATAAATAGAATTCATAAGACTTTGATTGTTTTTTAACAGGATAAATGCAAATTTTTTATAATTTCTAAACTCAAGATATTTAATCTGAAAATAAATTAATTAATTATATTAATAATATTATTTTTATTTATATTGTAATAATAACACTGTATGAAAATGCTATTGCTATTGCAATAACATCTTAAAATGATTCAGTAAACCTATGATATTTCTTAAAGTAATTCAGTAAACTCATTAGGATAAGATAATATTGGAAATTTTTTGAGTTAAAAATTAAAAAGATCAAAATATTTATATAGAGTCAATTAAAATGATAAATAGTAATACAATCTTATTTTCTAAATATGAATTGCAACCAATATTTTTTATAGAACCTTATTTAAAAAAAAATAAATATAAGGATAATAAAATTTAATATATTAATTAGTATTAATAATTTTGATAAAACTTGAATATTTTAAAATCTTTTATAATATTTTAATGAAAACGTGCCTATGTAGACAATAAGAAACAAGAAAGTAAATAAAATACAAATTTGATTGTCACATTTATTTATAGATTAACTTTAATTCTAATTTATTTTATCAACTATCCTATAATTCATCAAATTAAAATTTTTTAGTATTTTTGTCACTTGAGGTGATTTTAGAACTTGACTCATTTTTATCTTCAGGTATAATTTACTCTTCTATAGGACGTTATTCAGAATTATATCCATTTTAATTCTGCAAAGTTGGTTATGAGTTATACCTATTAATATTTGTAACTATTTAAGTATTCATTTTTCTTTTATTATTTCTTTGTGATAATTTCATAAGGAAAGCTGTAGTTTATTTGCTTATTTAATCATTTTTAATTTTTTCAATTTTTTATTAATCACTTTTGTATTAATCAATAAGATCACTTGCTTCTTTATTTTCATCAAATAAAAATAGCTATTATTTTAGGTCTAAAGTCATATTTTCTTTTCTTTCATCTTATTATGATTAAACTCTATTTTGTATATCATTTTGCAATAATTCATGATCTAAATCAACACTTGATGTATTATTATTATTATGTTTATTATTAATTTTCTAATTGATAGTTTCAGTAATGGAATCCTCATTAAAATTAAATGTGGATGCTTAAATATCTCGCATAACAACAGCAGTCTTTGAATATTATTAATCCTAAATTTCTTGATTTTGCTGAATATTAACATCTATTTTTGGAAGAGGTAGATTTTTTTTCTGAATTTTAGGTGATTCTTGAGGCTTCTATTAGGGAGGGATTGGAGTTTGAGTGACAACTGGATTAAGTATTAATTTATTCAATTGAATTTGAAAATATTTGTATGATTAATCTTGTATTTCCTTAAAGTGTTCAACTCCTAACTAAATATAAATATGAAAGTAATTTACCATATACAAATTAATTAGATTTCTAAGTGCATCATCGTTAGTGTATTCACTTAAAACCAATATAATGTCATTTTAAAGGATTTATTAAGCAAAATCTTTAGGGATTTATTTTCCTAACTCGTACAATTGATTGTTTACATACTTTAGGCATGACGCATATTGGCCTTAGGACTGGATGCTCTAAACTAAAAGTTAAGAATAAATCAATACTAATTTAGAAAAGTATTCTGACATTATAATTTCAGGTATTATATAAATATATAATGTTATATGTAAATATAAAAACTATAATTCTTAGATTTAGTAATTAAATAATAGTAATTAATATTTGGATGCATTTGTATATAAGATGTAATAATAATTTATTTAATTTAAGATATATTTTATAGAACTGAATTTTAATAATATCGACATTATACAATAATGGATCAATCTCAGTCATTTTGTTAAGTATTGTTGAACATACGCTCATAAACCTGTTCATCATTGACTAATTTTCTTCTTACTTTACCCTAAATATGGTTCAGGGATTCTTACAATATGATCTAATGGGTTAAATTTCGAGTAATGAGAACGACACTAACAAGCAGTACGAGTCGGTATTTCAATTGACATCATTTTAAAAACTCTATTCAGCTTTTTTTAGACACTTGTTTAGAATAATTCTTTATGTTATCGAACAAATTTTAAATATTTATAATGTTCTTCGTTTGTCCAATGTCCTAAAATTAGAATATAAGATTACCTCTACGGTTTTGAATTATCTAACTATTGGATTTTTTAACCTGTCTCACTGTCTCTACTTTCTACAAGAGTTTGTCTGAATTATCCTCTTCATTCTTCTTCTCACAGAGATTTAGAGAAGGAATATCATTTTAATTAATGAAATTGTCTTCCTATTTAATGTAAGGAGAAATTGTGATTTAAGGCAATTTCATCTAAGTTTGTTCTGTACTCCAGTTGATTTAGTTTTATTATTAAAAGTAATTCAGAGGATAAGATTCATTCTATAGATATGGTTAAGGCGCCTAAACATTGATAACAATAAGTGATTACCATATAGGTTGAAACTTAAGGATAGTAAGGGTTGTAGTTAGAGTAATACACTTGTGGATTCATGGCAAAATCTGTATAATGGTTTAATTATGTTACTTGGTTAAAATTAGTAAGGACAAGTACTGTATGAAAAGGAATTGGATTGCATGCTTTATTTTTGTTTAAAATTTAGTTAACTTGAATCATTTAATCGAGAATATATAGTGCGAAAGAATCAAGATTTTCTAATTAATAAAGTCAATATTACTTTACCCCCCTAATTTAACTTCATTCTTCCATTAGAAACCTTATCGATATATTTATACAATTAAATCTGACAAAAATTTTATTTATCATTAAATAATCCAACATTCATCTACACACTACACTCATGTAGTCTCAATACCAATTTAGTCTATTGGTTATTACTTATTGAAATCAGTCTCCCTTCTTTCTCCTACTCTCCCATTTTAACCCCAGTAAAATTCAAAATCATTATTAATTATACTAAATATTGATGTTCATACTCAAATTTAATCTAAAATGCTATTTTATTTAAGTATTTTTACCAAAACTATCCAATTATTCATAAATCCATTATCAATATTTTTAATATTCATAATCTAAAATCACACTCTCTTTTTTGGAATTCCCATATTTTTTTAATTTCATCCCTAAATTATAGGTGTTTCTGATAAGTAATTTCCTTCAATCATTAAAATAAATAGCATTCAGTATATATATTTTAATTATATTTAAACATAAATTATAACGAGGTATCCAAATAATTATAAATACAATAAATATTTAAACTTATTGTATTTATATTTCACAGTAAATTACAAAAGACATCTACCAATTCCATCATCATATATCAATTATTAACAATAATATTAAAATCCATCAATTACATCCTATACTCCATCTTCAAATTTTCTTATTCCTTTATAATAATACATACTTTCATCATCTATCATTATCAAGAATCTAAAGCAGTTATATCCTAATATTCAATATTATATTTTTAATTAATAACGAGAATCCAAATGAAAAAATTAAGTCTTCTAAATATTGGATAGCTTCTTAATTAGAATCAAAAAACAAGCATTACACATCATTCCCAAGAATAATCCAAAAAATTTAGCAGCTTTGATCTTATAACCAAGAGTCCATATAAAAACTCTATAAATAAATAACATCTAAGACATCATGCTAAAGATTATTTTCCTATTACTACAAGACAACATGAATTCTAAAGTATTAAATCTCCTTCACAAACTACAAAAGCATCAAAACAATTCAGTATTACAAATGCTTGTATATATTAAATTTATTATATTAGTATCATAATTGTATAAAGATGAAGTCAAGTAACCTGGGTCAAGTAGAAGAACATCTAAAAAGAATTATACATATTAGTTAAAAAATATCCTTGTCAAAGATAAACTATCTCCCTTTGACATTGGTTAAAGTACTCTATATTATTCATTATAGGAATTGCTACTCAAGTAACATAACCTAATATTCCTTAATCACCTAAAACTAATTTAAAGACTAGTCCAGATGTTAGATCAATCTATGGGGATAATAATAAATAAAAACTATCGAGTAAATAAAAAAGTCAAAATACCACTGAAAGAATGCTCTAATTAGAAACAACTAGACAAAAGATAATTGCTCTTTAATTAAAAATACAAGGAAATATTCAATAACGATCATAAAGGAACGTTAATAAAAATAATTTATTTGATGAAAAAAAATAATAACTTTCATAATCAATACAATAACCAATCTAACAATAATTATAAAAACCACAATTACCTCAAAGTGCTGTGACTGTTCTTAAACATTATTTTGATTAATTATCAGATTATGAAAAGAAGGAGATCATTGATTATGAAACTATCTACTATCTTCCTCCTAAAAATATAAGATTGCTGAACTAAGATCCTAATGAAGATTAACAATATAATAATGGATTTGATAATAGCAAGTATTTTATTTACTTATTATAACTTAGTGGTGATTACAAATTTGTTAAATAAGATTAAATTGCTTATAGATATGAAATGTTAGAAAAATTAGGCCATGGAAGTTTTGGATATGTTTTTAAGGTTCATGATCATAAGCATAAATAAAATACAGCTTTAAAAATAATTAAAAACAAAGAAAAGTTTTACAATTAAGCTTTAATTGAAATTGAAATATTAAAAGTAATAAATAAAGCAGATCCTACATGTTGTTTAATTAAAATGCTGAATTATTTTGAATTTAGAGGACATATTGTAAATATTTATAATTTAATTAGAAAAGTGTCTAGTCTTTGAATTGTTAAGTTGTAATTTATATGAATTCATAGCTATCAATGAGTTTTCAGGTTTTGATCTTGATTTAATAAGAAGATTTGCAATTTAAATATTATAGGCATTATTATATATGAAAGAATAGAATATAATACATTGCGATTTAAAACCAGAAAATGTACTATTAAAAGATTTTAATCGATCTGGAATAAAAGTTATTGATTTTGGATCTAGTTGTTTTGCAAATTAAAAATTATATACATATATTCAAAGTAGATTTTATAGGGCACCTGAAATTGTACTTGGACTTCCATATTCAACTTAAATAGATATGTGGAGTTTTGGGTGCATTGTAGCAGAACTATTTACAGGATAATCATTATTTTAATCTAAATCAGAAAAAGAGTTACTTTATTTATAAATTAAAGTAATAGGAAAACCTGATAAAAATTTATTAGATCATTCTACAAGGAAATCTAAATTTTTTGATGAGTAACTTTAATTAAACTATGTCATAAATGAATTAGATTTAATTTAATAAATTAAGCCTTTATCATAATTACTTGATAAATCATCAGAATAGTTTTAAGATGTATCAAAATTTTATAAATTTAGTTTGTAAAAAAATGTCTAATGTGGGATCCAAAACAAAGGATGACACCAGAAGAAGCATTAACACATCCATGGATCATTGATGGATTACCTTCATCAATTAAGTATGAAATATATTAATATTTAGAAAATAACATTTATAATAAATGAAACATTACAGATAACTTCAAACTGAAGGAAATTTAGACTATTTAAAATAATCATAAGGATAGGGAGAGTAATTAGAATGATCTTACTATCTTAATTTCAATATATTATTAAATATTACATAATGTAATTAAATTTCAAATCAATGTTTATTTTAATTATTAATAATAAAAAATTCTAACATTTATGCATATTTACTCGTTTTATAGTATTCTTTTGTAATAATCTCATTAATGGTTGATTACTATTTTAAACAACCTTTTAATTTTATATTAAAAGCTTATTTGATGTTATTTTCTAACTATTAAATATTTTAATCCATTTATTATTAATCTTATTCCATATCTTTTATCATCATTTTACTATTATTATTAAATAACATATTTTAGTATTTCTTTAATAAATTTTAAGCCTCTTTCTCTTTAATGGTATTTTCTTCTTATTTTTTATTAAATACTTATATATATCCGTTTTAAATAGTTTATTTCTCTCTTTATTTCTTTTTGTGTTCTTTGATTCTTTCATAATATTTTGTAATATGAAACTACTTAATATAATTAACTAAAGCATATAATAATTAAAATATTTCTAGATTGTTTTTAAAGTCATTGTTGAATTATTCAATTTCTATATTTTTAGGAAGTATCTTGTTTAAGGCATTCAATTTAGAAATTAAACATTTAATTTTCTCTTTAAGCTAATTTAATTATGAGGGATTTAATTATTATTTACATATTGCATCATTTATAGAAATTTATTCTTGTGATAATTCTTCATTCTACTATTTTAAATATTCATAATTTTTGATTAAATCATTATTCAAAGTGACAACTTTTGTTTTACCATATATTTTATTCACATTATTATATAGAGCTTCTAATTCATCCTTTGCTTTCTTAATATTTTCTTACAATTTCTTAATCAATTCTTAAGCTTAAATCTTTGCCTAGCCTTTTTTTTATTCTAAGTCTTAAAATAAACTTTAAGATAATTTATAATTTTCTTAAGATAATTAGACAATTTTCTTCAAATTTACTTTTTACTCATCTAATATTTTTTTAAGTTTATCTGGTTAATCTTTCATATAAACTAAAAATTCATAACTTTCACATTCAATTTTAATCTATGATAGAGCTTTTGAGAACAGCATGGATTAAGATTGTAATTCAGTATTTAACTTTAATAATTCTCTTTCACAATTATTATTGGTTTGATTAAAAGTTGGTTAAATTAACAATTATAATTTCATAAATTATTAAGTTTCATCAAATACTTGCTACTATAATTTTTACTAAAATTATTCCAGTTAATTTACTTAATTGTTAATAGTTTCATAGGAATTTTTTTAATTGAAAGAATAGAAAATTAAAAATTACTTATTAAGTTCATATATATTTTAATCTATTTGTTCTGATTTTTCTTTGATTTAATTCTTAGTTTATTCATTGATGGAATCTTAATTATTAATTAAATTATTAAGTTATTATTTTAAATTAGACAATTTCTCTTGATAATTAATTAATTGTTTTTATATAGTTTCTAATATTTTTATTCTTTTTTCATTTATTTATTCAATTTATTAATCATGACAAATTTATTCATTCAACTATTTATATTAATTCTCAAAAACTTTAACTTATTTTTAAATTTAATTATAAGTTTAATGGAATTATTAATAATTCTAAAATATTCCTAAAGTAAATAATTAGTTTAAATCTTTTATCCGATTAAAGTTAACTTCAATCTTATTTAATATTTACTCTATTTATTATTCATATTTTTTATTATTTTAAGATAAACACTTAAATATATCATAATTTTCCTATAACTACTCTTTTAATTCCTCTATTAAACCTTGGTGTTTTTCATTAAATTTAAGATCTATTTATTGAATAATTTAATTAGTTTCTTTAGTTGAACTTTTTAATTGAGTTGTAGCAAATTAAAGTTCTTCAAGTTTGCATATAAAATATTAATATTGAATAATCTAATTATATTACTCTAATTAAAAAATATTGTTCTCTTTTTATTTTAAAATCTACAAATCTTATGTCAATTTTTATTCTAATAAAAAAGTATCTTGAATTTTTCGGTTTCCTTAAATCTCATACTATATTTCTTAGTAAAAGCTTATTTTTTCTTTTATTTTTTTAATATCTAAAGAATAAGCAGAAGATTCCTATTATAAATTTTGAAATTATTTAGAAAATGATTCTTTTAATTTTTTCAATTATTAATTTTTTTCTTCTTTTTATTACTCAATTTATTATTAACTTCTTAATTGATTTTCCAAGGCATTAATTTGCTCGGTGAACTTATTGAGAGTGTCAAATTATTAAAAAATAGATTAATTATATTCACTAACTTATTTAATTTCATATTCTTGAAGTATTTCTAATTTCTATATTTATTCTATCTCTTATTATGTTTCTTCAATCAATATTACTTTTTATTTATGGTTCAATATTTCAGCTTAAATTTAAGATATTAATTATGAACTATGCTTCATATTTAAATCTCCAAGATATTTTAATTATTCATTTAGTTGATTTATGCTTGTATTAATAGTTTCTTTTTAAGATTGCAGTATGTTGAACAATGCTAATCTTTTTAGTTCTAATTATTATTAATAGAGTAATTATTATTTATATTCCATTTCAATAATTTTTTAATTATATTCTAGTAAATATTTATTTTCAATTTAAGATTTAAGATTTTCTTCTAGTTCTTTTAATTTTTATTCAATTTTTTGCTCTTTTTCTTTTTATGTTATTTATTTCAGTCTTTCAATTTAATACTAAAATTCCTCTTCTTTCTATTTTATGAATCTATTCTTTTCATTTTAATATTATATTTCTTATTATATTTTCATTTCCTTTATTTATTCAATATCTTTTTCATATTTTTGAGCCTTTTCTCTTTCTTCGTTTATTTAATTTTCTTTTATCATTATCTGGTTTTGTAATGCTTTTCTAAATTCATCTTATTGTTATTCATATTTTCTACTAAACTCTTATTCAATCTATTTTTCTAATTCTTTTTTCATTTCATTTATTTACTCTAAATCCATTTATTAAGGCATTTGATTATTTTGTTGTTATAACATTTAATTCCTAGCCTCTTATTCAATCTATTATATCTCTTAACTATTTATGAGTTGGTTTTAGACTTGAAACTATTATTATACTCCAGAAAATCCATAACCAAGATTATTAGATTAAATTACATTATAATTGGGGTAGAAATTTTATCTATTCTATTAAATATATGGTTATATAATATTTTGTTAACCATTTTAATTATAAGCAGTTAAAATCTCTTTCAATTACACTCTTGATTAAGGATTTATGCAAAGCATTTTTTTTATAAAATTTTTTTCTTTTTATTATATTTAGGGATTTTATTATATCTAAATATCAATTTATTCTTGTTTACAATTTTAGATTTAATTAATGATATCTTAATTAGCTAATAAGATAAATAATTTATATTACCATTGAAAGAATGTTTTACCAAATAAAATTTCATACCAAATGGCTCCTAATGACCATATATCAACTGATTTATTATAAAATCCTTAATTTCCTAAAATTTCTGGAGCCATATAATATGGTGATCCAATTTTTACAGTTTTTCTCAATGAATGAGATGTCTCTTTGACTAGACCAAAGTCAATTAATTTAATAGTTTTATTTTTATTTTAATCTTCAATATACACAAAGTTTTCAGGTTTCAAATCTCTGTGAAATAATCCTAACTAATGTAGTTATTCAACTCCTTATACCATCTAAAATCATTTTTAATTAATTACTTAAATAAACAAAGAATTTTTTTATTAATAACCCATTTTTTTAAATTCTTCTTTCTACATAAATTGATAGAATTCTCCATGAGCAAATTCCATAATAATAATATAATTATAATTTAAACTTTATTATATTCCTTTGATTCCAATAATATGACTGCAATTTTATTATTTAATTTTGTTCATGGCATTAATAATCCTTTAATTATTTTAAATGGTTTCTTTAATAGCTACAAATTCTTTAGTTTAAATATTGATTCCTTTATAAACCAAACCTTCTGAACCTTAACCAATTGCTTATGAAAATTTTTAGTATTTGATTCCATTGATCAGAAGTATTTCATTATTATCTTATTGTAATCCAGATTAGTTTGAGTATATTATGTTATTAAACATTCTCTTAGATAAATAAATTAATTATAATTAAAACTTGTAAACTAAAATTATACTTAGTTTCTCTATTTATCTATATTTCTATTAAAATGAATAAAAATTTAATTGAAAAATATTGATATAATAAAATACATTAATATGTTTATCAATGTTCATTTTCATCATCTTCTCCATCATTTGTATCACTACTAGATTAATTATTGACTAAATTAATATCTAATTTAACCAATGATTCATTATTTTATTCTTATTATTTAGGAAGAGTTGATTAATGTTATTTTTATGTATCAATATTCTCATCATTTTATTATTATAGTTATTGAAGATGTTATTTAAACACTTCATCTGCTAATAATAAATCAATATTTTATTTTAATTTAACCTCTAAATCATATTCTAAATTATTTTGATCAATTCTTCTATAAAATAGAACATAAGCATTTGGAGTAACAATACTATTAGTTTCTTTTGTGACAATAGAATCATCAAATTTATACCAATCTCCGTTATTTTTACAAAATGCAGTATAATGTCCACTACCAGATTCACCAATATGATTACAAATTGCATATAATTCATATAAATTATTATTATCTAAATTTTTATATATTTTTTTATACCTTAATGTAAAACAAAATTAGTCATATCTAATTTTTCAGGATATATAATATTAGTTTGTAGTTTAGATTTAAACAATTTATATGAATCTTTAAATCTTTTAAGATGAAAAATTAAAATCTTTGGAGTTTTATAGATTTATAATGTTTTATAAGCTTGTACATGATCTTGACATCCACTACAATACCAAGTATTATCCACTTATAATTATTCTGGTTTAGTTGAATATTCTAAACAATGTTCTAAAGTATATGTCTATTTATATTTATTATTTTTTTAATTATTATCCCAGTTAATATTGATAATTGGAGCCTTATAATTAGGATCAAATATCTTTTGATATTCTGTATAAACATCTTCAATTTTCTCTCTGCATGGTTTAAGCCATATAATTTAGATTTCTGGTTGTAATAATTTATCTTCTCTTTAAAAACAATCACCAAATATTTTATCAATAAATTCAAGTGGACAATCATTACAATAAGCTTTATAACAATAAGAACAATTAACTTAAAATCTTTAATTTGTTTTAAACATAATTTTCCAATATTTATCTAATATATTTTATTAATAGACTTCTTCTTAATTTTCACAATTAATCCAATTTTAATCAAAATCTGTAAAATGTCTTAAAACATTCTTAAAACAATTAAATAAAAACAAATGTATTTCTTTATATGTATAATTTTAAGATAAAATAAAATACATTGTTGGTATGATATCTTTTTTCCAATTATTCATTGTTTATATTTAATTGTGGATTAAAACATGAACTTATGATTCATTTGATATTAGTTATTCTTGAGCTGTTAATCTTCTTAATTATAATTTTTTATCTTATTTTAATTACTTTTTGAGTAATTCCAATCTTTAATCCAAAAATACTAATTATATTATAATATTATATATATATACCTTCTTCAATTTAAAAAGTAGAACTTAATGTAAGAATGATTTGATCCCATTCACAATTCAACCATTCTTATGATTTAAATTACAAAACTTCTTTTAATCTTAATTCTGGTTCATAATAATGAGTGACTGATTAACTTAACCATAAGTTTTCAGGATCAATAATATGAAATTCTAAAAGCTTTTTCTTTTCTTATGGTATAGTTACATTAACCATTAAATAAGGATCAAATGTAATAGAAATTTTATTACAAACTGGACATTATAATTTGGATCTATATTAACCATATAATTAATCAACAATTAAAGAATCATTCCTTTTTTTGAAACATTCCCATTATTCTTAACTTACAATATCATCAGGTCTATTATTATTATCTGGAATTTCCACATATGGTTTAATTTTGATTCTATTTAAATCTTCATTGAGTAAATCAAGAGTAAATGTTATAAATTCTTAAGCATCATGTTATGCATTTCCAGCAAAATTTGGTGATAATTTGGCTACTAATCTTTTAAATTAGAATGGTGATATTGATGATTATTTATCAAACCATAATCTTTTTAATAGATAAGAAAATAAGGATGCAAATTCTCCTTTTGTTCCTAATGCATTTTATGTATTAATATCAAATTTAAATGAATTATCCAAGAAATATCTAGATAATTCTGGTGTATTTGATAAACATTATAAAGCACTATTCATATAACATGTATTCCCTAAATTTCTTATTCCTGTTAAACCTAATTTAGATTATGGATTTGGTAATAGATTAACTAAAATTTCATCAGTGTCATCCTATTTTTCACATGTTTAAGTATGTTAATATGAATGTTATTATAAACATGCTTCAGAACAATATTTAACTTTTTTGCATGCACAATTAAATGTTAAATTATAATATTATGAACAATTTGTACATTTCTCTTCTTATCCAAATAAATTGTTTGAAATTAAAAATGTATTATTTAATTCTTTAGCATCCATTAATAAGATTTAATCTTTCTCAAAATTATAATCTTTCATTTATTTATTATGTGTAGGATCTAAGAATTCAATATCTGTAAATTCATAATATTATTTTTTATCTTTATAAGATTACAATAAAAATGTCTTTAAATTTTCTAAATTCCATGTATTTCCTAATTTATATATTCTAACATTGTCTTTTGTAACAAATTTATATGATGTACTAAATCTATAGATTATATTATTACACTGTTTTTAAAGTTTTACTTAGAATAGTTACAATATCACTTATTTTAGCATTTGGGGAAATGTATTATTCACCTTCAATCATTTAGTTTTAAACTTTTGACATAGCTGAAGGGAATACAGGCACAAATTTAATACATTAAAGATAAGCTTATATTTATCTTTATCCTTCATTATTAAGAAATGATTCTCTCTCAATTATAAAATCCACTCTTTATTTATCATTACTAAATTCATTTATTTACAATTACTTTTTCAAAATTTACCACATATTTGAATCAATTACTTAATAATCTACTCCTTCAACTAAATTAGGTTTTAATTGAGTATTCCATGGATTAGATTCTATTGGATCATACTTTAACACTTATTTTGGTTTGATTCCAATATCACTATTGATATTACCCAAAGATATTGAATCATCTGGTTCATCTTCGTACCCTACTTTCTTCTTCCAGTTATTTAACCATCTTAATTATAGGATGAATACTCAACTGTGATGAAATTAGGAAAAATGATCCATTTCTTGAATTAAATTCTTATAGAAATTTTTACTCCATCTCTTTATACTTTTAAACTTCCTGTCTAATCATTTTTAAATGAATTTTTTTAATTAATAATCAACTTTGATAATCATATATTAAATTAAAAAAAAATATATGAGTGTTTCAGAATGAAATAATAATGATTACTACCCCTTCCGTCTTAACTCAATATCTTTATATCTAATTTATTTAGAATAATTCTCATCTTATTATCAAATCATTCAGGTAAAATTAGAATTATTTAATTGATAAATTATTCCAAATTTAAATAAATTCTTTCACTTTAATTAATATTATGGGATCCTTTTCTACATTTTATTTATTTCTTTATATCTTATCATAACATCAATTTTATATTCTCAATTCTATTCATTTCTATCAATTAATATAAAAAATGACAACAACAAAAAAATAATAAAAATAATCTTAATATTTGTAGAATAATCCACTTTATAATTGGATATTTATCAATTTCCTTCAGATTCATCATCTGAGGGTGTCTATTAATTTTTTATTTAATCTGTGTAATCTTCAATTTACTTATTTATTTAAAGTACATTCTTTCTATTTCTTTCATATTATTTCTCTTTATAACTTGTAACCAATAATTTAATATCCCTCTCAATAGATGTTGTTATATTTGTATCCTATTTATTTATTGATCATATTACTTTAGTATTTGCTTTAGATTATAAATTATCTTTAATATTACTGACTGTACCCAATAAAGTTTCTTTATTTTCAAATAACTAGATAATTATAAAACTTATTAATATACTGTTTATAAATCTTCATCCCATTCACTTAAATCACTTCCTTATTACAACAATAACTAATATCTATCATATTCCAATTTAGCTATATCTGTCAATTTAGTTCCAAATTCTCTAATAAAATCTCCAATCTTTTTAAATCCATGATCTCCTGAAACATAATCTGACATATCTTTAGTTATAAATCCTAATTTTCCATCAAAATCTCCTAAAGCAGCTTCTATATCTACCATTAATTATAATTCTGTAGATAATAAATTATCTTTAAGTTTTAAAGTTTCTTTTTCTAAATCTTCTAATTTTTATTTCCAACCTTCATCATTTCTCTCTTTTGCTCTAAATGCTAATTTCTTTTGATGTTCAAATCTTTTAATAGTTAATATAGTTTCATTTTCACTTTTAATTTCTCTTGCTCTAACTGCTTATTCAAATTTCTATTTGAATTATTATTTTATTTACTTCAATTGATTATAATTTTGCAGTATTCTTTTAAATAACATTCTTCTATAAATTTTCAACTGTTTCTTTTATCTTTTCTTAAAATTTGTTTATTTCTTCTTCTACACCTTTCATAGTTTTTACTTTTTCTAATTCCTCATCTTAAATTAATTCATCACTTAATTTTTCTACTAAATCCATTCTAGCACTCTTTCTTTTAAATAATTCATCATTATTATTTTTTTCTTCTTATTCTTAATTTTACATCTATTTTAAAAAATCTTCTTAAGTTATTGCATCAGTTCTAAATTTTTCATCTGATTCTCTTATTTAATTTCTCTATGCTTCATCAATAAAACTATAATCTAAATATCTTAAATTAGGTAATGAATTAATAATATGATTTTTATAATCTGGTTCTTTTGTAAATGGATTTCCTGCTACATTTAAAACTTATAAATTCTTAAATTTCATTCCTTTTCCTTTACTAAAATACTATGTTACAATTTCAAAGGAAGGTATTTTATTATTACCAATAGATAATACATTTAAAGATTTACAATTATCTAAACCACCAACTGATGTTAATTAATTATTAAACATTGATAAATCTTTCAAATTGACTAATTTATCTAATCCTTCTATTTCCTTTATCAAATTAAATGATAAATCAAGCCAATGTAAATTAACTAAATGATCCAAATTCTCTATCTTTTATATTATATTATTATCTAATTGTAACTTCTCTAATCTCTCTAAACCTTATAGGTTTTCAATCTTCCAAATATCTATACAATTATAATTAATTTAATGTACTTTTAAAAGATAATGACATTACACGTAAAGAATTTAACATAATTTAATCTCCCATTGTTATTTTATTCTCTGCATTATAATCTTTAACTGATTTACTTTATAGTTATAATTATATAATTACATGATTAATATTTCATCAATAACTGTTGGCTCAATTGAAGTCTTATTATTTCTTTTATCAATCTTTGGAAGATGAGCACTTTGAAAGTTTAACATTAATATAAATATATTATTTCAATTTTTATTTATTATACATTAATTTCAACATCATTTAAATCCTTCCATTTCATAATCATTTATACTCAAAAGATAAGAATACTTAAAGTTTATAACTTATTTATTACAACTAAAATTAAATATATATTATTAATCCCATATAATTTACTCAGTATTAGTAAATATATATATTTAAAAAATTACTTATTGTATACTGACAATCATTATGTTCATTCTTCCTCTCCAATAGGAAAGGAAGTCATACAACCCCAGAAACCATTAAACACACCCTGAGTATTGCTACATTCATTGTAGCGTTAATCCTCTTGGCTATTCTCGTAACGATTGTCAAATTTAGAGTGCTTATCGTCAAAAACCAGCAAATCATGACGAGTCATAAGTGCTCTAAATAGTCATTTTTATATTTTTTTCATTAATAATTCAAAATATTCTTTAATTTCTATAAGGCCTTTTCCAATAATGGATGATTGACATTGTTACTCGTATCTAGAACAATAATATATTATTCTAATTAATGTTTTGAAAATCTTAAACATCCAAGGCAATTTTCAGGAAGTAGAAGAATTCGATAAATTAACCTGATGATTGAGTAGTGTTCTTATGGAACTTAATGGTTCCCTATAAATCTTGAAGCAAATTCATCAGCTCTCTGGAAGAGCATATTAATAATGAGACCAACATTTTGTTCAAAATTATTCCTGGTCTTTGTTCTCATTTTTTAATATTAACTCAAACATCATAAAATACTAGCATAAAATCTATTAATTAAAGAATTATTATTAAAATGAATTCTTTCATAAATTAATAAATTTTATGATTAAATACTTGTTTGTTTTAATATTACTTTATTTGACTTAAACCAAGAGAATCAAACAGAGCTATCTCATTAAATCACTTAAAGATTGGCATTACATTTCTAAATTTGGAGCTGAAACAGGAGAAGTATTCTATTCATTAACGTAACAAAAATTAATAAATATTAGATTCCGAATCAAGAATGCTGATGAAAATGATGAAAGAACAATTCCAATTTAATATGAATTATATTTAGATGAAGAATGGTAAAATGCAATAGAGAAGAGTGAATGTGAAGTAAATAAATAATGATTACAAAATTAGAGAAATTCAGTGGCAAGAAGAAAAGAGACTATTTGGATTCCAGTAAAAAGTGGATATGAATTTAAAGGAAGTCTAACAGCAAAAGTTAGAGCACATTTATGGTATTTTGGATTTAGTGACTGTGAAAAATAATTAAGAAATTCATTTCCTGTTGAAAATAAAGTTAAGTTAGAAGTTGAATTACATATTACAAATGTTGGTGACACTGAATTTACATTAGAATAGTTTGGCATATTATAAATCATAGGTGTAATAGCTTTTATTGATGTAATAATGCTTATTTATAATGGTAATCAAATCTTAGAAAAATAAAAAAAATATGAAGAATTTAGTTTACCATTATTTTTATTGGTTATCACTTTATTATTAGAAACATTTTCTTATAGTTTTTTAACTATTCATTTATGGATATATAGTGAAAATGGAGCTGGATCAATACTATTATAAATTTTGTCTGTTATTTTTTAAGTGGCATCTTAATTTTCATTAACAATGATTTTAGTCATGTTATCATGGGGATGGTAAATAAATTTTAGTAAATTTGATAATTTTGAATTATTTTTACCAATATCAATATTAATAGGATTCTTTTAGATTACAATTGTAGGAGTAAGTTTCATAGATTATGATTCATATTATAAAGATCATTCATATGAAGGTTGGGTTGGATGGTTAGCTGCTTTGATATACATAGGAGAATTCATATATTTTATGAATGGGTTAGTTGACACTTACAATAAATAGAATACCAAGATTTAATAATTTATTTTATTATTGGGTTTGTATGGTGGAGTATATTTCATAAGTTTCCCAGTTTTATAGACTGTAAATTTAGTAAATGATCATTTTATATTATTAAGTTTACAGCCAGGTATGTCAGATATAAAGTGATGGAAATTGGAACTATGTTATTTAGAACTTCTGCCATTTTGTTGCTTACTAGATTGTTTACTTCAAAAAAATCAATATTTGCTTAGATTTCAATAGAGAATAAGAGTTTTTTAGATAGAAATAAGGATGAATGAGAGTAATGTATATCTGTTTATTTATTAATTTTATTAATTTTGTAAAGATGAGTAAAGAGAAAAAGATTGAGTCATCTATGTTAACATTTTTTGTATAGGAGATGACTTAGAATTTTTGGGAGTAAACTTAAACAACAGAATTAGATGTATTGAATTATATAAATTAAAGTCTTAAGAATTCCTAATTGAACATGAATTTGTTAGAGAGGCTAGAAAGGAAGTTAAAGTCAAACATACTTTGCTTGTGTTAGGAGAGGAATATTTATATAAGATCTCTCCAAAATAAAATTTAAAACGAGTTCCTTTAAATATATTGCATTTCGATACAATTCCAAAATTACCAGAAGATCATATTTTGCAACTCAATTCTGAAAATTAATTATAAGGATTCAAATTAACTTATGCAAATAAGATACTTCAAGTTTTTACATAAAACTCTGTTGTTTTTTTGTAATGGTAAGCTATTTTAAAACGTAAATGTCTACTATCTTGTTTCCATGAAACATATCATGTTGAAAAAATGATAGGTAAAGGCAGTTTTGCTAAAGTATATTTGGCTACATCAAATGGATAATCATATGCTATTAAAGCATTTAGTAAACAATTCATAAGTGAATAACCAAAAGTATACTTTGTTTTTTAAAGTAGGGTAGAGAAAGTCTACTTAATGAGATGTAAGTTATGAGAGCTATTAAACATCCTAATATTGTATAATTATTAGAAGTACATGAAACATAAAATTCAATTTATTTTGTTTTAGAATTAGTTGTTGGAGGGGAATTACTTTAAAGAGTTAAAGAGAAAGGTAAATACTTATTATTATATAAGGATTATTGAAATCTGATGATTTGATGAAAATTGCATTTAATTTACTAAGTGCATTAGATCATTTGCATTAAAAAAAAATATTCCATCGAGATTTGAAACCTGAGAATCTCCTTTTTAAATCTAAAGAAGATAATTATAATATAATGATTGCAGATTTTGGATTGGCAGCATTTTCTGATTAAGAGTTAATATTTAAAAGATGTGGAACTCCAGGTTTTGTTGCACCTGAAATTTTATTATATATTGATGGAGGACCAATTTATGATACTAAATGTGATATTTTTAGTGCTGGTGTAATTTTATACATATTAATTGTATAATTATATTATTAATTAGACTGGTAAATAACCTTTTCCTGGTCAAGATTAAAAGGCAATTTTAAAAGCTAATAAAGCTTGTTAAATAGATTTTGGATTGCCAGCTTTTTTAAAGACTCCTATTGAATTTTAAGATTTAGTAAAAAAGATGATGTCTAGTAAAATTAGTGATAGATTAACAGCATAAGATGTAAGTATTGTTATATATTTTATTAAGTGCTTAAAACATAAATTATTTGCTAAAATATCTTAATAATTAAAATAAGATTAATAAGATTTAGAAGAATAATAATAATAAGTTTTGAATAATTTAGCCAATTATGATATAGAATATACAATTGGTTTAAAAAATAATACTCAGAAGTAAAATATAATTAAATTAGTTCGGAGGATTTAGTGGGATCACAATAATTACAATGGCGAAAACCAGCTTATAATGGTAATGTTTAGACTGTTGAAACCTTAACAAATTGTTCCACTGTTTCGATTAAATAAATTGATGCTTAATCTTCATCTTTGTTCTAATAATAAAAATAACCTCAATAATCTAAATTTAGTATTTTTAGTGCTAAATTATCAAGATAAAATAGTTTTGATGGAGGAACTGGTATTATATATATATATATATAGATATGTTTAAAGAATGTGCATCTCCTGGTAGAAGTAAATTATCAAAAGAGAAGGATTTACATAAGATTGCATTGAAGAATTCATTTCGATTTTACTAAAAACCATAATTATAAGTGGAAGACAATTAAATAAATCAAGAATAATCAGAGGTAAGTGAATTAATTAAAAGACATAATTCTAGTGAATTGATAAAAATGAATCGTACTGATCATGAAATTTAATCTCCTAAAAAAATCGAATGATATAAAATTATAAAAACTTATATATATTTAATATTTAAATTCAATAATCTTACATTAAATTTTATCTATCCTTTAAATTTAATTAACCTTTTCCTTTTTCTTTCATTTCTTTTGCACATTTAATCTTCTATTTAACTTCTGCTACTGCTTTTTTCATTCCATTCTCTTCAAATGTTTTTAAACTCTTCTAAAAATAACTCAAAGCATCTCTAAATTCTTATACTAACAATAAAATTGTTCCTTTTATTATTTATATATATATACCAATAATCTTTTAAGTCTTAGCTACTTAAACACTACCTTCTCCATATACTTTAACTTCTAAATCTTCAGTTTCATATAATTCACCTAATGCTTCTTAATGTCTTTCTTATTTTAATTGAATTATAGCAATTTATCTTTTTATCTTAATAACTTTCTTATCTTAAGCAGTATATAATTCAATATATATTTATTTAACTTTTTATAAACAAGAAATTTGTTCATCAATTTATTAAATTTTCTCATAATAAGTTGATAATTATTATTAAAGTTCTGCTACATATTCAGTTTTATGATAATTAATCTCTATTAACATATCTATAGCACTTATTTGACATTAAATAGCATCTTTCCAATTTTCTTAACAAGCAAATATCTTGGCTTTTTCAATATAAGAAATTGCACTCTATTCTGATTTATAACCATATTTTGCTTCAGTAATAGCAAATACTTTAGTTATACATTCTTCACTTGCATCATAGTCTTTCATTTTACTAAAAATATTATAAATTATTTAATTTACGTATAACAATTAGACATTAAAGTCAATGTTTAGATTGAATGTTCAGTTTCATCTCCATATATTTAACATTAAGTTTCATAAGCTTTTTTCAATAAATCTAAGGATTCCTCATAACTATTGATTTCTAGATAACATTTTCCAAGTAATGTTAATATTATTGCATTATAACTTTTACTTTCTTATTCTTCATTATATAATTTTGCATTTTTCTTTAAAGCTAATGTTAAATGATCAATAGCTTATTCATAACATTTATAATTTAGATATGCTTCACCTATATTTGTATGAGCTTTCACTAATTTGAATTATCCTTTTCCATGTGTAAATACTAAAATCTTTAAAATAAACTGATAATAATCAATACTTTAGCTAATGCCAATTAATGCATTCTTATATTCAATATTTATTCTTCACTTTTATCTTTAGAATATTCATCTAACATCTTCATTTTTTCTTCTAAATCCTCTGATATTTTATCTTCAATTTATTTTTATTAGTCTGGTTAATAATTACCATAATTCTTGTCTTATTAATATTTTTCTTTTTATGCTAGACAATTATTATAAATATTTATCTACAGTTATCAAATTGATTAGATTCCATTTAATCATCTTGATTAAATTAATCATAATCCTCTTCATTTTAATCTTAATCATCTTAGAAATTTCCATCATCATCATCATACCCTTCTTACATATTTCTGTTATATCTATTGTATATTAAATATAATAATTTAAATTAAATAAATACTCTATTATATTATATAACATATGGTATTACTTAATTTTCTTTATCCAAATCTATTCTTTGATTTCTTAAACATCACTATTTCTAATTTCATAATGATTTATAATATTTTTTATTAGCTTCATTAATATTAACAACATTTAATCTAATTTGGGGCTATCAAACCCTAAACATTCTTATAGTTTATTAATACACTAAGACAATAAACCTTTAAATCCTTCTTTAAGAATATATTAATAAATATGATGTAAAATTTTAGAAAAATTATCAATGTACCATCTTAGATTGTTGAAATTACCAAAATCTCTAAAACAAAAGGGGACTTAGAAGAAATTATTTCACCAGAATCTGATCAAGAAGACTTATCCTGCTCTACTCCTTAAAGCAATTATTTCAAAGGAGACTATGACTCTAAGACTAAAAAAAAGAAGAAACACATTAGATTTAGCTTCTAAAATCAAGTTTGTAGTTGCTAGTTAAATTCGAAACTGAATTCACCTAAAGATTCACCTCGTATGAATTCACAATCAATTTAATCTATTCTCAAGCCTCAAAGCCTTTCAATGTTTTGTTAAAAAAAGAAATGAATCTGATTTATTTATGTTTTGAGAAATCTTGGTTAAAAAAATAAATCTCTAATAATTTTATCACAGAGAAAAACTAATCCATAATTCTACATTATATTTGTCAAATTATGAAAATTAACTGATTAGCATGCTTTTTAGGAGGCAAAACTCAATATATATATTATATTAAAAGAAAATTATTATAATCAAAATGTTAATTTAAAATAAAATAATCTTTTCAATTAAGTTTATCATATTTATACAATTTCTAATTTTTGATATTTACCTTATCTATATAAATTAAAATTAGTCATATAATCCAAATTAGCCTATGATTATCATTTCACAAATACAATAATATTTCTCCTCCATAAACTTTTGAAAATTCATAATTATAGAATTAATTGAAAACAAAAATCTATTATTTTAAGTAATTAAAAGCCTTCTCATTTGGATGCAATTGATATTCAAATTAAATTTCGAAACTAAATGTTTAAAATTTGATTTATTTTCAAAAATTTGCTATACAAATTTAAATCTATAAATCTAAACTATGTAGCCCTGAATATATTTTTTATTTACTTTCTCAAAAATAAATCTTATTTCAATTTAATTTTTCTTTATTACTTAAACAAAGAAAAAATAAGGAATTTAGCTTTTAAATAAATACTAATTTTTTGAGGCAAAACTTAAATATTTCAATTTTTAATTAATCTTAAGTCTATAATAATTGAAGATTTTATGCGAATAATTTAAATAAAACTTTTGAAAACATATTGATTGCTTATAAATCATTTGTAGAATGAACATGGAGACAAATGAAAAGTCTTTTTTTTTATAGAAATTTTATTTGTAAAATTATCATTTACCAATAAATTATATATATATGAATTAGATAAGAATACCTTATAGTAAAAATCATACACAAGTTGGATATTAAATAATTCATATTAAAATAAATAATAATATAAATTAATAATAGTATTAATTTCTAATAATACTTAATATCAATCAAAAGAATTCTAAATACATTTTTTTCTATAACTAATGTTATCTTGATTTGCCAAATAATTATTCTAGATTGGCTGTTGCATTAACAAAAATACTTCTTTTAGTAATTTTAGAGAGTCTCTTCAATTCTAACATATTAGCATTTTGATTAGCAATATTAAATACCATAAGATCAACTTAATTTTTCTCTAATATTTATCTTAACTTTAAAAATTATTTCTCACTCATTTTATTATTTACTAAACATAGATTTAATAATTATAATTACTTTCAGTGAAAATACAAATAAATTTATAACTAGTTCTAAAATCATTTTTTTATTATGATTTGTCATTTTCTATTATATTAGAATAATCGATTTCATTTTTAATAAATTAAAAATCATCATTTTCAATTTCAGAGTCAGACTCACTATTTAAATCATATTGATATTCTTAACTAATATAATAATAATTAATAATTAAATACCTAAAATTAACATGTTTACTCTTGTCATCAATATTTTCTTCAATTAAACTTTTCTCTTCATCTTCTTCTGCAACTGGAATTAATTACATTTTTTATTTATCATTTAAATTAAAATTTTGTTTCTTGTCATAATCATTATCATTAATTGTAATTTTATGTTCAAAGAAATTCTTAACAGCATATTTTAAAGCTTAGAATATTTTTGATTTTCCTCCAGGAGCAGTAATAGCCATGAATAATTATTTAGTCAATAAATCTTTATATGTTCCTTTTGGTTATAATGGAAAAGCTTCATGAAGAGAATTATTGAAACCATACATTCCAATTAAATCTTGGGGTTACAAAATATGAAAAATTCTATTACAAATACTATGAGACAAATTAATTTGTTCAATAGTCATTTCTTTAGAATAATCAATCATGAATACAATTTCATAAGTATTAATAGAAATTTGATTTCTAAATTATTGGATAGGCAAAGGAGAAATACTAAATAGATTTATAATTTTCTCTAAAGCTGTTAAACAGAAATCACGTACTTCAGGATCATAATATTCACCCAATTCTATAATTTATGTTAAGATTTCAGAACCAGTCTTAAAATTCCCTTCAATTAATTCATATATAGCTTATAATTGCATAATTTTGGATAATAAAACTTCTTTTGGTACATTTTTAAACATGTCAACGAAATTATAATCTTCTTATATTTAATTTTATTCTTAAGTAAAGTTTTCATTAAGTTTATTATAATATTCTAAAGCCTTCTTTTGAGATATTTTGAAATTACTTAAATCTCCAATTTAAATATAACACAATGCTTTTTTAACATGAAGATTTAATAATCTTACTATATTACTTTAAGTGAATTATTATTCTTTTTCTGCTGTAGCTTCAAATTCATTAAATAATTTAAGAGTTTCTGGGATAAAGATTTCATTTTGCATACAAATAGTAAACATAAATTATGCTAATTGAAATTATCTATTTAATAATTTAACCTTTGCTAATTTTTTCTTTTTCATCAATTCTGTAATTTTCTCTTCAATCATTTATAATTCTGTCATTCCTCCAGTAGATTATCTAGAATCTCCTCTTATTCTTTCTTCTTGATCTTGTCTATACTCTTCATCCCTATATCTTTCATCTTATTAAATTATACTCTCTTTTAAATCCAATCTCTAACTAATTATACTACTTTAATTATATGAATGACTGCCAAGATTTCTTAGTCTATTAATAGATACATTTGGAGATAATTAAGGAGTTATATTTGGTGAATTTTCAATTTCTACTGAATTAATTGGTTACATATGTTGTCTACTTTCTGCAAATGACATTCTTTTCTTATTAATTGGGGTTTGTATAGAATTTGTTTAATTTTAAGTAATTTTATTTTATGTGCCAGTATTGAGTAATGCAACATGTGGTATACTATTTTTTTATAATAATTAAGTAGTAGATTAATTTTTATTATGTTTTTCTTTTGGTTTATTTACAAGAGATTATGAATTTAATTTTAATTAACTATTTTATTTTTTAGTTTTTTTATTATTTTTATTAATTTGTACACCTATCCAATTAATCTTCATTTATTCTTTAAATTTTTATGCCAAACCTTTTAATCTTTATTTAAAATTTTAATATAAATTTGGTTCTTACAATGCTGATTACATACCTAAACACCATTTTTTAAGTTCTTTAATTTCTATTAATTCTAATTTTGCAATATAGATTGCTTCTTCCATTTCATTTATTGCTTCAAATACTCTACCTCCTTTCATATGTAATATTCCAATATTATTAGCACATATTCCAACTGCACTCATATTTCCTATTTCTTTTTTATAAAAATCTTTTGCTTTACTTAATTCCATCAAAGCCAAAGCATCAGAATGTTTACAATTAGAATATTTTTGATTTGAATATTTTATTGTTGTTACAAAAATATTCATAGTTTAAAATAAGGATTTAATCTCAAAAGAATTAAAATAATCCTAATAATTAATCAATTCTTCTTCTTAATCCATATTTTATATATCAATACTATTCATAAAATCAGTTAAGACTTTTATTGGTTATTCAAATGATAAACCAATACGACCAGCTGTATACCAAACAAATATAAATATTACTATTTTTATATTTATAAATATATATACCAACTGATAATGCAATAATAACGATAAAAACTATGATCTCTAACATCCTAACATTATTTAATGATGTTCCTTCATATAATTCTTGAATTAGAGTTTATTCCTCAAAATAATGTACCAAAATAAAGGAAGGCATAATAAAATTGTTTTCTTCTGGTTCTATATAAATATATCTTCTTCCATTTTCAGGAGCTGTAACTATAGATACTTTCTTTGTAGAATAGATATTCACTTTAGAAAATAATAGATAAAACTTATTTTAACCAAACGAATATGTCAAAGATGTTGAATTTAGTGTTGCATTCTAAACTAATTCTTTAGATTTATTCATTATTTATGGTGCTAAATCTTTATTCAAGGAATTATAAGAAGATTAACTAAAATCTTTAGTTTTTACTATATATTTTATAATAGATTCTGAAATAGGGATATTACTAAAATCTTATGGAGCTAAATTAATGAATTCATCATTAATAATAGCAATAAAGAACTAATGTTCACTTTCACCTTAAATTTTATGTTATTAATGATGTCTTTTTATCAAATCTTCCAAATATGAATTTGAAATCTTTGCTGTCATGAAACATTAATTAAAATTATCTTAAGAAATGATTTGTGTTATTGTTAATGATGGATTTTATGTGAATTCATCTTTATCTACATAAGACATTGAAAAATTTAAAGTAGAGTCTAATTTAAATCTCTCTTTTGGTAGCCAATCAGCAGTATTAATGTTCTTCAACAAATTTTATTATTTTTAAGTGAATTATGGTATTCTTACAACTAAAGAGTCTGTACAATGAACCATTATAGAATCATATGTAATAGGAATCAATCTTGAATCATCTTCTCTATCTTTTGATACTAATTATTTATCTTATGAAGATGATCTTGTGTTGCTATTAGAAATATGAATATTCAATACTTTATTATGATATCTGATAATATAAGTGATTAGGTAATCTTATTTATTAAAAAACTTAATCTAGGGTTTCCTTTATGTAAGGCTTCCAATTTACTATAATTAGAATGACTCCAGGCCACTGTGTAATATTCTTCTGTTATTTGACCAGATGAAAATGAATAAGGAGCAATTTATTTAGTATTCAAAGTCCTAAATTGACTTAAAATAATACCAAGATGAAAAGTTTTAAAATTCACCAAAACAATAATGTCTTAAATGTGCACTCACACCAAATATTTAATTATAATATGCTTAATATTATATGTAGATTTCCTATAATTCAATAATTAATTACTTGTTATATGATGTTCATTTCTATTTATAACCCATTTAAATGTCTGTTTATGTGAAATTCTAAGAGGGAATCTTAAAAACTTGGGATACTCACAAAACCAAGCAATCCAACTTATAGCACTGCTAATATAAGAATCAAAATTATAGGTATCAATATAACAAGTAAAATCTAATTTTTTAGTTCCATACCTCTCTATTAAAATTAATGTGATATTAAAATAATGGAAATCAAGATATTGAAAAATATGAAATTTATATATATATATAAATTTTAAATTATCACAATAGACAAAAGTATCAATTGCATTCGGGAATTTTCTCAAAATAATAAGAATAATGATTATAATAAGAACTATTAAATTTTAAATTATCCTCCAAAATCTAACGTCATGAATATTATTATACAACTTCAATTAAACTTTAATAAAAATAATTAATAAGTGTAATTTAGCAGTATATATATATATATATAAAAAAATAAAATCATTTATTATTTGCTCTTACTCTAGCTGAAAATATTATATTACACAATTTTTAAATTGTAATTTCTTTATTATTTAAATTCAATTATTTCTATAAAAGATTATCTGAATTTCTTTTGCGTTATTTAAATTAGATTTATATTTTGTAAAGCTAGTCTGCTTTATGTTAATTAGTTTTCTGAATCTTTAATGGATTATCCCTTGAAGAGTAAGTAGGACTAGCAAATAATTATTTCCATTCTATTTTCTAACTAAGATTAAGAATGGTTTGAATTTCCAATTAACTTTAAGGTTTTCGTTTTGATTTTGCTGTACTTCTTACACTATAAAGGAGATTTGGAGATTAGAGTCCAGATCTAGAGGCTGTTTAAAGTGGAGAAGTATTTGCACTTCGAGCAGAAACATAATTATTCTAAACACAATTAATAATGGATCCCTGAGATTGGGATTTAAGATGATTACCTTATTTCTTAGCTTAACTCTTTCTCCATTATTTAATTTTTTCCCTTTTTGAATCTTCTAAAAAGATTTTATCAATCAATTTTTAATTAAAATCAGAATACTTCCTTGTCAAAGGTGTTTTTATCTTAGGTTTTTCTGAATTGATAATTTCATCTGGCTCTTAATTAGATTTATTAACTAAATCACCTAAGAAGTTGAGAGATGATCGAGGAGAAGATTGATCTTCTTATTTCTAAAATTTATATACTAATAATTACTAAAAAGTTTCGAGTTTGAAGATCATACATAACTTGTACAAAACCTTGATTTGAAGTAGGCTTTAGCATAGTTGCACCAGCTCTAATTTAAGGTTATTAGGAATGACGACTAGGTCCAGCCATAGTTATTTCCTTCTTAATTCCCATTTAGATTAATGTTTTTTTATTCTTTTTATTAGCTAAAGTACGAGGATTAAGCATTTTAGTAGGTGATTAAGTCAAAACCTTTTACATCCAAGGATGACTTAGTATTTAATATGCTGAATATCTTTCTGATTGATCAGGATTCAACATATTAGTTACTAACTCCTTATATTCTTTGCTTAGAATAAGATGAGAAGGGAATGTATAATTACACTTTAAGATATTGTCAATAGTTTACTCATCATTTCTAGAAGTAAAAGGTAAATTAGCACAAACAAGAGCATATAAGATTACTCCTAATGCCCAAATATCTATAGATGATCTTATTTCAGTAGCTTAACCACCTACTACTTCTGGAGGCATGTAACTTAATGATCCTCTGTCAACTTTATCAATTGTAAAATTTGTTGAAACTGTTGCAATACCGAAATCAATTATTTTAATCATTTTTTCTACTTTGGATGTCAATAAAACATTTTCTAATTTCAAATCTCTATGAATAAGACGTTTATCATGGCAATAACGAATAGCCTCAGCAATCTATCGAAATATTACTCTAGCTTCTTCCTCTGACAATCCTCCTTTTTCTAAATTTATTATATTATTATACACCTTAAATATATTCAACCAAATCCCCTCCTTGTAAGAATTCCATTATTAAAACAACTTACATATTTGGAAGTGTATAATAGTTTAATATTTTTATGATATTATTATGTCTAAGATTCTTCATCACTTCTGCCTCTCTAAACACTAAATCAATATCCTCAGCATTCCATAATTTCCCAGAATCTATCAGTTTTATTGCTACCTGTTCTCCTGTTACTTTATGTTTACCTAACATCACCTTCCCAAATCCACCCTCTCCAAGTACTTTCACTATTTGGTAAACACTTATTTATGAATAAGCATCAAAATCGCTACCTAAGAAATAAATTGGATACAATGTATACTGTCTGATATATATAGGAGAGTCCCCTCTTTTATATATGGAAGATCTTCTTAAAATATCTCTATGCCTTATTAAGTAAACAATCTAAGACATTGAATTTTCATTTGATAATAATTCTCAGCTTTAATTTTGATATCAGCCATACAAATTTACCTCTATGGTTAATACAATCAAATTACTTAAAAAAACTTAAACCTAATGATATTAGCATCTGGTTATCCATTTAAGGTTAGAAGGAGATATTTTCTCTTTTCTGCTTGAATGGAATCATTGATTTCAAAATCCATAAGTATTTTAATAAATATTATTCTGATGAGATAAGCAAATTAAGAGTGTATTCATTTAAATTATATATTACATCAGATTTACCTTCTTGGTCTTAACTTTTAGTCCCTTCTTTATTCTACTTCCATCTTCTCTTTCATATCCTAGGCTCTTTGTATTTCTTTTCGCTTCATTAATAATAAATCTAGTCTATATAGACAATCTGATGGTAGTGGTTTAGATTCAAGCTCTAAAATAAAAGGTCTATGATAAATTAATTATTGTACCTATGAACATTAATATCCCAATATCTTTAATTATTTATATCTAGATGAGATGTCCATCTACCAGTTAATTATTCATAACTTTCTAAAATTTCTTCTTATTTTATCTTAAGTTTCATATTCAATCCTGAACCTGTACGATGTGCTAATTTACATCTCTCAATACACATAGGAGTAACTTTATGAATTTAACCAACAAAGTAATCTATTGGTTAATTAGATTTAGAAAAGAAACTACTATTTTTATCTTTTGGATTAAATTGGATGACAGCACATAATTAAAGATCAGGTTAAAAACAAAAACTTCTTTTATGACAATTTACATTCCTTTATCCAGTAATAATATTATAAACAGTAAATGGTTGATTAATGTAATAAAACTTTAAGTTTGTGTTTAGAAAATGTACAACACTATGACCTTGTTATTCTCCAGACAAACTATTACATCCCATATTAACAATAGGACTAAATGCTCCATATAATTTATAGTCTCTACCAAACATAATATAATTAGAAATAGGAGGATGATGAGAAGTCTATTCCAAATATATAGGACAACCTTTTATCCTACCTTAAAAGGTTTCGCCTAAAATAGGATTAAAAGGTTTCTCTTATTAAATTCCCATCATAAAACCTGAAAAATAGAATGCTAGAGTTAATTTCATTTATTCTTTCACATCAATTGATTGGGCTGCAGGCTCCAAAAATAATGGTGCATGTCCTTAAGCCCTTGCCATTCTTTCCAAAAATGATCTGCTCTCAAAAATCTATATTGGTAATGAAACTGACATAACAGATTTACCATTAATTATATTAGAACCAATTCTCTTGATCATATTCAAGAGTACAGATCTTTGATCTTTTAATAGTCTTTCATTATGGTAAGTCAATCCACCTCTTTATGAATCAACTCTATAATGTTTAGTATACATGAAATGTCCATCTTCTTCAGTATTATCTAATTGCTAAGTTAATCCTTATAATATTCTTTAATCTGAATAAGAATTTATGGCTTCATTTATATATTCTCCATTGTAGACTTTGTCAATCAGTTTGAGAAACTCTTCTCGAGATTGTATTTAATGTTATTCAGATGTTATTCTGAAGATTTCTTAATCTGTTAGTTTAATAGAGATTTGTAGAGTATCTAAACTTTCGTAATTTTTAGTAATTACATTTTCTGTTATCTATTAGATTTATTCTTAAATTTAAATTAAATTTCTATCATTAGAAGTAATATTCATTAACAAGACTTTCAACATCTTTTCTCCTGCATCTTTATCTTAGCATTCAACATATATTTCTTCAATTAACAAACTCTTATATTCTTACTTACTAAATGATTATCAAAATCATACTTGGAAGATTAAACTACTAAAGCAGATCTAATTATTTTATATTGATCTAAATGCTAAGCCAAATTAAGATCAATTTAATCATGATATATCTCCTATCCAGTATATTTACGAAATATACAATAAATTCCATCCTTCTCAAATCCTTTTTATGTAAATACAATCCTTATTATATCATTATCTTTTTTATTCATAGATAGATCTTGATTTTCAATAATTTTTATATTTTCACAAGAATTTTCATCAAATTATAATTCAGCATAAACTAAACTACATCCTTTTTTAGTAGGATATACTTAAAATTATTTAATTAAATGAGGCATCCAATTTTAAGTAGATGGCATAATATGTTCCTAAAATATTAATTGTATATTTACATCATAGATTCTACGTGGTTCTATTTTAGAATAATAAATTAATTTCATATGCAAATTATCATTTGTGTCCTAATATAACTGGACATTTTCTGAATCTAAAATTTATTTAAAATTCTGAATATCACTGAAACCATCCAAATTTTATAATGTGTTCTACAACAATATTTCCATATCTTTCTAATATTTTATTATAATAAATAATACCTATATGAAATCAGGTAAATATGGAATCATCTTCTAAATTTTCTCCCTTGACAATAAACTTGGCTTAGCTTGAGATTTTATTACTAATGGTTATTTATCAATGTAAGGTTCTACTTCAGGTAATGATCTATCAAATTCTTCTAAAACTTTTCTTTGGATCAACTTTTTCTACCATTCTCCAGAAAAGCAATCACACCATTACAAATACTCTTTCTCATTATTCCATCCTAATTTGATCTCATTTTATTAATTCCACAACTTTATCACATATTTATCTTAATTTCTGCCTAATCTTTTCTTCGTGTAATCATAAATTCTAATCTATTTTTATGTTTAATCCTTAACATCTTATATCTATAAAACCTTTTAAATAATCAAATTATAATTACCTGAGTATTTAAATAAAATATAAGGAGTTTCTCTTTCCATTTTTTCATTATCCCAGATTCCTTAAAACCGCTACCACTATAATATTCTGTTTCATTTTGATACATTTTAATATAATATTTAATAATTATTACCAAATAAAATTACTATTCCCAATTTTCCTTATTATAAGTACAAACACCCTTTTTAAAATAAATTAATTTAACTTGATCATATACATTATACTCACTTAAAATTATATCTATTTGAAAAAGAATCTTATGTAAGACTTACAATTTAATTCTAAGAGATATTTTAATGAATACAATATTTATTGAGTAAATTAAAATATATTTATGTTTTCAAATACAAATTAGCAATTCTAAAATCCTAGAATACTTTAATATAATTCTTACAATCAAACTGTTTCCATAAGTAAATGATAGGTTCATGGGTAATGGAGAATCCTGTCTATTAAACTTAATAACCGGTGCCAACGTAAACAGAAATTTAAAATTTACAGATGAGAGAGAATCAAGTATTTGAATTATAAGTAAGGAATTCATAACATATAAAATACATCTTCAATTATTGTTTAGAATAAGCTGAATTAATCAAAAGGAAATTAGAAAGTATCATATTTGTAATATATATTTGGATTTGAATATCTTTTAGTTTTTAGATTGGATAATTAACTTTTCACAATAGTATTATTCATCATAATAATTTTGATTACTAAAATAAAGCATATTGGGTGCTTAGATAAAGCATTTTAATCTTAAACTCATAATTAATTATCTACTCTAAAAGAAAACTTAGAAAATAATCTAATAAAAGTTATAGTTCTAAAAGGGAAAAATCATCATATATAACAATGTTGGAATATTTTAGCCATTGTTCAGTTATCTTAGAAAGTGTTCTTTGTCTAATTTGTTGAAAGATAAAATAGTTAAAATTATAAATATTAAATTAAGATGGCTATGATAATTTTATGAATAATTTAAGAATTCTGATTTGATTAAGTGGATCTTCAAAATCATAGAATTACTTTGAATAATTTATAGATTCACAAAGTTTATGAATAAAATGACTTAAATCATCTTTTACATATATTCCTACTTTATCAAATATATATGAGTAATTTAATTCTTATGCATTTGAATTAATTAGAAGAATAAGCCTTAATAATTTAAGATAAAGAATGTATATCAATCTATTTATATTTATGTTATATTTTGCATTTTATGGAAGTGTTTATTTCTTAGTAATCTTAGTTTTTATCATTATTTACTATAAACATAAGACTATTTTACATATCTACAATCAAATAATAGAAATACATAGTCAAAATAGATAGATAATAATAGCATTAAGACTTTAATTAAAAATTTACTTTATTTCTATTCAACAAAAACTAAGTTATTTAAATGTATTCAGATAGTATTATCAGAATTTAGTAAATAAAGGGATAAGAAAAGTAAGACTAGATATTCAACAAATACAATAGATTTCAAATAATGAATATATATTATAGAGTTGTAAATATATGAATTAATGATAATAATAATTTAATTCTTTCACTTAATAAAATATTATATAATATGCAACAATCCTAAACAATTCTTAACTATTTAAATGGGAATTATCTACTCACAAGCAACACTGAAAATCAAATAATTACTTTAGAATTTGATTCACAATATTATAATCCTTGCTTTTACTTTTTGCATTACTAATTATTTAATCATCTTAATAGTACAAGGTAATAAATATTGTTATTATATATAGACCACTCCTAATTATAGATCTTGAATACAATTTTAGATCATAATGGAAGAACATTTATCCTACTATTGAATGTTAATAGTACAATGGATTTAAGAAATATGTTAATAATATTTATTTCATCAATAAAGAAGAATCTTTGAATAATGTATTAAAGCAAATTGTTACAGATAATATAAAAAGCCTTGAAGTTTTGATTTCTGGATTAGAATTAGCTGAATAATCAATTTTTAATACAATAAAAGAAATCCTTAAATAACCTTTTAGATCTTAGATAAGTTTATTAATCCCAAAAGATTTTAAACATAAAGAATTAAAAACTATTTATAATATTTCAAATTGCAGAATGATAATTGAATAATTATTAGAGACTGATGAAAAGTTATAAAAGAATGAAAAAGAATTTAAAATTTATAATTTAATGGTTATGATGGTTTTAAAAAAATCAAATGGACATTCTTTTTTAAAAAATTATATAATAGATGGTAAAGAATTGTTAAGAAGTAAATTAAAAATAAATAAAATAAAAAAAGAGATTTAAAAGGATGAATAATTGGATGTAACTAAGAAAATAGGTGCAACATTCAATTTAAATTTAAGTTAAGAATAAAAATTAATGAAAAATGAGGTTGATAATTAAATAAATCCTTATAAAGAAATAATTTCATAAGAAAATGCCCCATTAATTTATTAAAATGAAGGAGATGAGAAAAGAATAATTTTAGATGATGAATAAGAAGATTTTGAAGAAGTAGAAGAATATGAAGGATGAAAATGTTATTTTAATTTATTTCATTTAAATCTTAATTATCATATATATATATATAAATCCTTTATAAAAATAAAAAATATATAAGATTCTATATTTTGAAATAAAATTACTATTCCTTAGAGTACAATTATAATAATATTAAAATAAACAGACTTTTATCAAAAATATCGTCTATCATGTTAAAGACCACTCTCAATTATTCATGTGCAGGTAATGAAATCTATTAATATTTTGGATATAGATTTAACCTAGAAGTAAACCTAATATGAAAATACAAAATTTGGTATTGTGATAGATAAGGAAAACTCTTATGCCGTTTTGCAAAAGAAGAAGTAGCTTTAAAATAGGGAAAATAATAGTCAATCTTAATAAAAGGGAGATTTTAGATCAAATAGTGGTTTATAGAAAACATCTTCACTATAATAATTTTATAGAGCATCATCTACAAATGATAAAAATTCTTATCAAAATTAGAAAAATACTTATGCATACTTAAAAGACATGAAAAATTAATCATCTATTTAATAGGTTTAATAAAATAGTTATTAATAACGTCACATTTCCTCTAAACAACTTAAAGAATAGAATGGTAAGTTAATTGAATAAGCATTAAATAATTAATTAAAAGCAAATACACTTGAAAATTATGAAGACAAGAAGGTTAGTCTAAAATTCATGAAAAGTTGTTAGGATAAATAAAAAAATCTCAAAACAAAAGATCAAATAGAATGTAACAATCAATAAATTATGGATAATAAAACAGATAGATAAAAATACAAATAATAAGGATTATTGTCTAAATATTTCCCTATATAAGGAAATGAATAATAAAATGATAAAAATGCAGATGATAAAAAATAAACAAGAGATGTTAAACAAATTTACAATATATATACATAAATTAAAGATATTAAAAATTACTATACAAATTCCTTAAAATAAACTCAAGAAAAGAAAGGATTATAACTTTAAGATTTTGTCACTTAACTTACTGTAAATAATATCAAGAATTCATAAAAATAATTAATGAATAATTTCAGTCTTATTAAAACTGATAGATAATAATATAATGAGATTAAATAAAATCATTTCAATAAAAGTAGTGAAACATAATAAAGTGAACCTGTAATAATAATTATATTATCATTATTAGTTTCTATATTATATTTCAAGTATTCTATAATCATTAAGAAAACAAGAATCAAATAAATATGATGATAAAATAAGAGATCATTTTTCATAAACCTATTAAGTATAATAAAATTATATTTATAAAAGGGATTATTATTTGCAAATTAACTTAATTTAAATTTTGATGAAGATAAGATTGTTAATCTTCCAAGATCTAATAATTTAAAAACAATTGTATTTGATTTGGATGAAACATTGATTCATTGTAATGAAAATGCTTAGATTCCTGGTGATGTCATACTACCTATTACATTTCCAAATGGAGAAACTATTCAAGCTTCTATAAATATTAGACCTTATGCTTAGAAAGTACTTTAGACACTCTCTAAACATTTTGAGATCATTATTTTTACAGCTTCACATTCAAGTTATGCCAATATTGTAATTGATTATTTGGATCCAAAAAAATAATGGATATCTCATAGACTTTATAGGGAGAATTGTTTATAGAGTCCTGAAGGGGCATATGTAAAAGATTTAAGGTAAAAGTTAATTATTTTTAGAGTATTAGGAAATCGGAAATTATCAAATGTACTTTTAATAGATAATGCTTCATATTCATTTAGTTAATAGATTGAAAATGGAGTACCAATTATCTCATTTTATGATAATTATGATGATTAGGAATTATTATATTTACAAAACTATTTATTGAGTTTTAGATATGAAAAGGATGTGAGAGATTTAAATTAAAGAATGCTAAAATTAAATTTATTTATAAATTATTAAGATTTAAAGGAATTACTATAAAGTTTATTTGCTATGTACATTTGATAAGTGTGATTAAGTATGTAGATAATTGTGAATGATCATACATTGTTTATTTTATATAAAATTGCTACAAATGCACATTAATTATAATTTTCATATTTTCATAAAATTAGTTAACGAACATACACAATTTAAAAATGATGAATGTTTCAAAATGTAGTAAATGTTCAAATGTTCCAGATGATATCTTAATGTTAACATGTAGTCATGATTTATGTTTATTATGTGCAGCTAAGTCATTTTCACAACAACCACCTAAAAGAAGCAAAAAAGTAATATATATTTTAGTAATTGAATAGTTTTTTGTTTGTGATATATGTTCATCTAATACAGAATTAGATGCCAATAGTGTTTATGAATTAGAAAAATTACATTTAACCAATGCTTTATAAGATAGATCAAATCGTAAACCTGCTTCATAATAGAAACCTAATATATCTTCTGAGAAATAACTTAAACCTCGTTCATAAAATAGATAAGATAACAAAGAGAATCCAAAAGAAAAACCTATTAAATATACTGCTTAAACAATTGAAGCTAGAGTTTCTATACATTAATCTTAAAGACATATGAGTAAATAACAGAGTGAAAATTCATTCATCTAACATTCAAGAGGAATGTGTGTTGATCATCCTGATGAAGAAGTCTCATATTTCTGTTTTGATTGCAATAGTAAATGTATTTGTCCAGAATGCATTATACATGGAATTCATAAGAATCATGAAGTTAAAACAATAAAGAAATCATATCCAATTGTGAGAAAATAATTAGAAGAACAATTAGAATAAAATAATTAATGTATAATCCAAGTTGAAAATTAAAAGTAAGAGATAGAAAAAAAATAAATATAATAATAAGCTATTTAAGATCATTTAAGGTTGCAAATAGCTTAAGAAATTTAGGTATTTATTTAATATTAATCTAGGCTTTGCATTAATTATTGAATAGTAAATAAAGTGAACTATTAGAAAAAGTAGATAATTTACCTACAATAATGGAATAATAGGATGGATATATTAATAGACTAAATGAAGTTGAATTCAAGTTATAAAATTTTAATGAAAAAATTAATGACATAATAGATTCTAAAGATGAATGTGGATTACTTAATTATTATGGATCAATTTATGGTCAACCAACACCACAAATACCTCCACTTCCCAATATTAAAGAAGTCCAACTATCAAATTAAATATTTTCATAAATTAATGATGTAAAAAAGTTAATTGGAGGTCTGGATATTGATTGTAATTAATGAAATACTTCCATCAATTTAAATATATCATAATATTCCTTTTTAAAATAGTTGATCTAATCTTAATTAAGAAATTTAATCTCATTATATAATTTAAATTGTCTTTTTCATCTAATAATTTTATTTTTGATCTTGAACAGAAGGATAATATTCTTTTAACCATTTTTTTAAGTAATTTCTATCAAAATCTAAGTATGTTTACAGTCTTACATACTTATTCTTATATTCTTAAAATTATTACAATGATATTGTTAAATTAATTGATATTGTACTCTTATATAATCTAATATATTTTGAGAGATCTTAATAAATCTTAGACTTAATGTAATATTATGTAGTATTATTTTCTATATCTAAAAAATAATATTTATTCATTCACATAAAATCCAACACATTAAATGTATTTTGGATGTCTGATAAATATGATTTATGTAAATCTTAACTTTAATTATTAGTCACAAAAAGAATCATTAAAAATTATGACATTAATCAACAAATCAAAAACTTGAGGTCTTAATTCTAGAAAATTGTGTTTTTAAATCACTTGTTAATTTAGAAACTCAATTATCATAATGTTATAAAAGATGTAATATACATATAAAACTATCAGAACTCTGTCTTCATCATTTTCTTATTGGTTATTTGAATTTTACATTACATTTAGAATTGTATATTCACTTTAATAATATAAGGACTTTCAATATATACTTTTGATATGAAATATTATTAAAGAAATCATCAATGTAGAAGTTGATAATTGTTAATTTATTGTGTATATAATATAAATAATTGAAGAAAATGAATTAAAAAATGCATTAAAGTTTTGGACAAACAATGTCTGTTGAAATTGCAAAGATTGCCAATTACAAAAATATGTTTAATATTGAAGCTTTGATTGTGATTCTCATTAATTTTATGTCATTAATGAGCTTTACAATAGAATCAGAGAAGAATTCAGGATATTTATATTTTATTTAAGTATCAAATCTTTTTATTGTAGTTTTTGAGTGTTTTCACTCATCCACCAGATATATTATTTGTGCCAATTAGTATGTTACTATTAATTTTGTATTTGTTTGTTTATGGATGTTTATTGTTAATGTCATATTAACAATACAGCAGTTAAAATAAAATGATCATATCGAACAAATAATTCAAGCAACTTAGATACATCCTTTCCTTGACTGCTGAGTGCATAGTTTAACTCACCTGCCCAATAGTAGTCACTTGATTTATTCTAGTTATCTATCAATATGGGATTGTTTAGTAAATACAGTAGTGCTTGGATAACAGTGCCTATCCTGAATATTGTGTTGCACTCATTAATATTGTTATGTTACTTTTATTTTTATCGAAGTTACCAATTCAATTAGTTAGGATTGTATAGAAATTTCAGTTTAATTTCTTATTGTTATTACATCATTACGATTTTTGTAGTGGCAATAGATTGGAATACATCTCTCTAAATTCAACCTTATATTCTATTATTAATGAGCATTTTGATGCTTGTAGATTTACTATTATATATTCCATATAAGTTAACATTTGAAAATCAAATTTATTTATTTGGTTGCACTGGGTTATTTATTCTTGGAATGTTAGGTTCACTTAAGTAATTTTTAGTTTACATAAACAAAGATAATATCTTTGAAACTTTTATTATATGTTACCCACTCTTTTATTAATTATTCTAATTAATCTAAAATATGAAATGGAAATAATTATTATTGTATATGAGAACAGGATCAATGAAATAAATTGATATAAAAAAATTGTGTTTTTC